TTAAGACAAATACGTAAGTAATCTACTGAACGTCAGAACTTTCTATTTAATACACATTTCCCAGTAAATTATTGTTTTGGACGTTCCTAAAAAAGTATTCCTAAAAAACTTAAGTCTATTAGTCGCACCTCTACTAATTCCATATAGGCGTTTGTTAGATAACCACATCCAAATCTAAACTAATATTAAAATGCGAAAGTAACTCTGTCTGTCTGTCTTTTCGTCAAGCGTAATTTACTGACACTATTTGTGTGAAGTTTGATACGTTACCGTAGTTAGGAACTTGAGAAAGGACACGGTTCCACGCGAACAAAGTTGCTGGGAAAGCTAGTATGCACATATTTTTATTACAATCTTATAATAACTGCATTCACTTTTTCACTAACGATTAATTTATATTCTCCCAACGACCCAGTGTTATTGAAAAAGCAAGTTCCTAAGACCGTGACATTGACATACTGACTTACCGCACATAACTTTACATAATATACAAAACTATGTCAAACCTATGTCACGTTCACAATGGACAGTCATACAATTCCATATGTTATTGATTTTCCAAGTGATTGGCTTATTCACGACCCATTCTATTGTATGGGCATTACGTTATTACAAGTCTACAATAAAAAAGCATAATTTCGAAAAAAGAATATTCTAGATGTACATTTATTTATATGAAGTTTACTTAAATATAAAATACAACTTCAGGTCAATAAAAAAAAAACTACAAAGGTAAACTTTGAAGTTTTTTTATAAAACAGCAATTTAAGAGATAAAATACCGCAAATGCAAATAAAACGCGGCCGTGGTCTGAAAAATTGGAATTAACGGAATGGATTTTAGTCAGTAAGAGTCTGACACTACCCCTCGCCTCAACCTGGGCGACAAGGCATTTGATGATTTTACCCCTTGCTACTGACAATTAATTAAAGTAATTATAATATCAGACCGGTAGATTAGAAGCTAAATTTATTTTGTGTATTTTCCTTTTAAGTTTCACTTCATACAGGTCTCATATAATCATGATCATTTAATGTACCAATCCCCAACCGAACTCCGGCGTTCGCACGCCTATTGTTCTTCTATTGTAACTCGAATTACCACGATTAAATGGTTAAGTCGGAATTAGACTAAAACCGTCATATATCTACTTTTTTTTACCCGACTGCCAAAGAAGGAGGGTAATGTTTTTCGAGTGTATGTAAGTATGTATGTATGTCTTTTCCTTTGTGACCTCCTGTAGCCTAAACGGCTTGATGGATTTTGATGTATGAGGTATCGTTAGATTTGTCTTGATTACGGGAGTGTCATAGGATACATTTTATCCTAAAAGTCCCACGGGATAAAGACATAATAATATTTTTTCTAAATTTCCCTTTAAAAAAATATGTATGCGGTATCATTAGATTCATTTCAATCACGGGAGTAATTAAAATAGGATACGTTTTTTCTCAAAATTCCCACGGGAACATGTTAATTCTGCGTCAACGCAAAGCAACTCATGCGTTAGCAAGCAAAAAGATAGGGCGTGGCCTGGCATGCGGCGCGCGGCGCGGTGCGGATATGTTGCGGAGTAACATCACTCGTAATCTAAAGCCAAATATCGTCGAAATAATTTAAAATGGTACTTACAAATACATAGTCTTCTACATCTACAACATTTTCGTTAAATAAAAACAGCTAAAAAGTTATAAATAAAAAAATTATTATTAAAAAAACAAAATACCCGACTGCACACTAAAAAAAGAGTAAAACAAGCCCCACAATACAAATTTACTGAATATAATTTATAAATGTTGATGGAAAGCATCGCAGGCGGGGACCACCTTGACCGCCACCAACGAAAATTCTGCTAAATGGTGCACAACAGAAATGACTATAAATAAGCCTCTGTTGGTCCCCGCCTGCGATGCTTTCCATCAACATTTATAAATTATATTCAGTAAATTTGTATTGTGGGGCTTGTTTTACTCTTTTTTTAGTGTGCAGTCGGGTATTTTGTTTTTTTAATAATAATTTTTTAAATACGTTGCCTCACACTAGGATTTTCTCCGGTGCGCTTACAAACATACACATTACACCCAGACCCGGAACAACAATTTGTGGATCACACACAGGGTTGTTGCGTGCAGGAATCGAACCCGCGACACGTTGCACGGCAGCCAGTTGCCCAACCACCGCGCCAACCGTGCAGTCAACTTATATCATCCCCAACAGATAGTATGGGACGACATTATCGGTGAGCCGGAGGGCGCGCGGAGCCCGGAGTGCGCATGGCGGCTGAGCCACGCGTGCTTCCGTCACGCGCGCAACTGGTGCTACACCGTGCTAGCCGTGCTACTGGCGCCACCTTGCGCACTGCTGCTCGGCTGCGGATTTGCTTGTCTCGCTTTTGAGGTAAGATGACTGCTACAATGACTACAGTATGACGTGCTAGAAACACACAAGTTTGTATTTAGTTGATAAGCCAATATGAATCAATTATTAATTATGGTAATGTTGCGGGATACCTCCGTAAACAAAAATGGTAAGTGCAGTAGAGAAGAAGGCTAACGCTCCAGCAGTAAATGGTTTTAGGGTGAAACCTTTAACAAAGTCTCCTATTTCAATCTAAGTATACTGAAACTAAATATAATGATAGTTGTTTAAATTTTTTAATGAAGTACGGAGTTGGTGGTACACTTAGATCGCCGCCAAAAAGCACGTACTTAAATAAGCATCCATCTCTGGTCAACCCCTTGGGTAACAAAACTTAGTAAAATAAATGAAAAATGCCTTATCGTTCAAATCAAGATTATTACCTCGTATTTTTTTTTTCAATCTCATAAGTCGACAAAGTCAAATCAACCATTATCAATCAACGCCGCCCATAGACACTCGTAGTACCAGGGAGTTACTACAAGTGCGTTGTCGGCTTCTTGCGGGTTATTGGGGATTTAAGGAAAGGGGATTTGAGAATTGAAGACAGGGAGGGGGGGGAGAATTGGGCCTCCAGTAACCTCACTCACACGGCGAAACACATCGTCAGTACCTATTGCTTCACGCCGGTTTTCTTTGGCCATTGTATCACTCCGGTCGAGCCAGCCCATTCATGCCGAAGCTCCCACACTAGAACTTTTTGAATAGAATTCTCTCACAGGTACTTTTATTTGCAGCAAATCTGGTGCACAGCTCCGTGTCTGCGCTGCGTAAAGATCTACTTCGCATCACTCCGCACGATGGTGCAGTCTTGCATGGCAGCCATTGTAGTACCGGCTGCAGACGCCCTGGGACATATCTGCAGGCACATTAGAGTCAACTTCAGAAAGGATGCTCCCGAAGAAAAGGATGTACTTATCGTTTAAGAAGGTAGTAGAAACTCGTTATCATCAGGAACTGGAAAATGACGACTGACAGAGGCCTTCATTAGAGAATGAGAACTAGCCACTTTGGCCCCCCATAACTCTGACGATTTCACCAGTGCACCTATCGGAAGACCACTATGTCTGCCTATCCGTGACGAGTAGGTACCTACTTGTGCTGACCTATCGGCTATCGGTCCCCCAAGCGAAGAGGTCACATATCATCAAAAACAAAAGTCAAAGACCGTTTCTACCAACTAAACTATAATCAGGTACTTTTGAAACATGAAAATAGAATAATAGTCAGTCAGTGTTTCAACAAGATCGACCAATAAAGTTACTGAATGATTAATGATAGTGTAAGTTATAACTTATAAGGCGTGATTTCTGTGCCATAGTTGTAATTAAACATAAAATGAGTCTTAATTATAATTGTAAATTAAATTAACCTCAATAATAAATGTCTATTGTAACCTAGTCATAAATTGTAAGATTAACTTTTTAACTAAAATGTTATCATTAAATGTATCGTCTGATTTATTCATAATAAAGTACTTTATAATGTAAGGAAACGTAAGTCCTAAACGATAAAAACGTGAACAAATGAATAAAAATACGAAATAAATCGCCACAAGTGCCTTTTACGAGATTTATTATTGTTCAGTAATAAAGTATAATAATATGGTTTTGCAATAAATTTTCTATTCAATAAAGTAAATTATTGATAATAAGTAATACATTTAATACATAAAGTAATAATATTGAAATACCTATCTAACTATATTAACGATGTTAAAATATTGTAATAATAAATTTATAATAATGCTGTGTGTATGTTTCAAATAAATGTTTTACAGTGTATATCTTTTTTTTGTTTTCGTATCAGTGGTACCTAAATCATAGACGAAATACAATATAGTTCGTCAATGGCGAAACGGTCAGCATGCACATACTTGGCAAAGGCACAAATACATTCAGCCAACTCGCGAGCTTAAACTTACAAGAAGTAAGTTTAAGTCCATGCTTTATGATTACCTACTGATTATTAGCGTAAACCCCACCAGGCGATTGACCGCATAACGTCATAACAAGCGTGAATGTCGAATGTACAACATCACGCTATATTTCAATTACTTACTTCTGTGTAACTACTGAATATTTAATGAGTAAGCCATCAACGAATTTTTTAGTGTTTTAGTAGATCTATCCATCCTAAATTCTTATGAAGATTTTTATGAGCAAATAAATGAAACATCGATCACTAATAAAAAAGTTCTTTATTAGTGATCGATGAAATGAAAGCTTTAAACTTTGAAAATCGAATACAAAATTTACAAATTAAATGCCATTTATTTAAAAAAAATAAGTATAAATAGTTCACAAATAAGTGTAAATACTTTTCTTTTATTTTTGTTTTAAAAGAAATTAAAAAACCATAAACAATTCAAATAAAGACATAATAATTGGCGGGAAGAATACAATTGCGTGTTTCAAATTAAACACATAATTTTATATTAAAGTGATCTAGTTTTTATAAACAAAATAAGTAATGGACGAAAATTCATCAGATCGAACTTCAGACCCATTATTGCGGCAGACGAGCAGCAGCAATACAAATAATTGTAACAATCAATCGGAAAATCGCTTTGTTATAGCACAATGTCGGAGGTTAGTAAATTGACCAATCATATTTCTGACAAAATAGAACTCCTTAAAAATATTATTTATTTTAGAAATGAAGATCAAACAACAACCGGGCAACAAGAAAGTAGTGAAGAATCTGAAACGGAAGAGGTATTTATTGCTTAAAATTGCTAAAATAATAATCCGACGAAATAATAGTAGGTAACTCAATGACACACACCTATTCTTAAACTAAAATCTATTACATCGGTGTATCTAGAAAATGGAATACGGTAGAGCGTTTGTTAGTAATTACTCAGGTCAGAAACCGTTAACAAATGCTGTTCAGTTTTCGCCCTCATGTTGATAATGTAGAGTAAAGCCGACACGCTATTTAATGACCGCGTGTCATGTTACCAAACAAATCCCGATTAATTACCGCGGGCCATGTCAGCGGGACTCTAATTAATGAACGAGGCGCACATGTACTGATATTTGAGAAGCAGATTGGGTGCGGCTCGTGAACCCCTGTAGGCTTAAACTTGTACATAGAGTTAGTGTTTAAAACAAGGTCTAAGTTGGTTACAATTTAGTAATCTGTGACCTAAGGTCCCTTTCCCATGTCGCTTGGAGTTCACGGTAGCACGAAACCAGGATTTGTGCTCGGTTTTAAGTTCGTTCTATGTTAGGAGTAGCGATGGAACATAAAATATTTAAACGTATCTTCTCGAATCTTAACGTCACGTCAATTTTCTGTGCGAGTCCGGCTCGCGCAAAATCACGTTTGCTCTATGGGGTTTAAATTTGTATTTTTTTATGTCTTTAGTGTATACAACGACATACAGTCCAAATTCCCACAGTCTATCTAGCCACAATTGGATATTAATTAGTGACAGACAGACAAACAGACACGGAAAATTTTAATTTTAAACACACGCTCCAGTCCACTATCATTTCCAGTTTATTTAATTAAACTTTAATAGGTCACCTCTTTATTGCTATTTCGTAGAGGGTGTTGGTGGCGTACTGCCGGTCAGGCAAGCTGGGTGCGGCCTACTGCACCCTGCAAACGGGCGAGGTGAGGGAAATGCTTATGACCGATGATCCTTGGTATGATAATACAATACTTTACGTCAACAACGCGTACTTTGTCAACATAATTTCATAATATATTATAATTTTTAATATTACTATACTTACTAATATTACAAGTATGAAAGTTTGTGACAATGTATGGCTGTGAGTTTGTTGTTCTTTCACGGCTAGAAAGATTTGGTTGAAATTTCGTATGTAGATATGCGATACCCTGGATTAATACATAAGGTACTATTTATAAGGTACCTACTATATCATCATATAGTGGGCGAAGCCTCAAGCGGAAGCTAGTTAGTATATCTTGATACGACTATGTCTGTGTTATGTTCCTATCCCTATACTATTTTTAGTTAAGTGTAAAATGATCAATACCATACGATACTAATGTCCAACCAAGCAGTTCAATTAAGCAAAAACTTTCCCTTCTGATCAGCTATTTATTCTAGAAGAGATAGTAGACCGTCCACCAGAGTACCTGATGTTTCTTAGCCTATACCGGCAAGTGGAACCGGTCTGCATCTTACTAGATGGGAAGAACCAGGGTGCCTTCGTGCAGACCGTCAAGAAGACTGTGTTTGACAGCGACGCTAATGATGAGGGACGATGCAAACTCGTTTTCTTATCTTCTCAGGAGTACAGTGAGTATATTTAGTTAACCTTTCTGAAACACACACACTCTTTTCTATTGCGTCTTATACCTAAGTATTCCGACATTCGACGAGTTAAATGGAGAGATATCTATACTATCTTTAACTATACTAGTATACTAGTAACATTATAAATGCGAAATTAACTCTGTCTGTCTTTTCTTTACGCCTAAACTGCAGAATCGATTTCTGTGAAATTTGGTACAGACATAGTTTGGAACTCGAGAAAGGACGTAGGATAGTTTTAATACCAAAAATCTGCAGGAAGTCACTATTCCACGCGAACGGAGTCGCAGGCAAAAGCTAGTTTCTAATCATTTATCGTAAGACAGTTCCGTAAAATGTACGTAACTTATTCAGATCAGTTTATCATACTTAGTCGCCACGTGTACAATGCTTGAGGACTCCGACTGGGCTTGAAACTAGACGGATCATCACGTAATTGAGGAGACTCGAAAATTGTGCTCATCCATAACTCTTGCATAACGTGCGAACACTATATTAAATCTGAAATGTATATTTATCGTTTCAAAATAATTTATTTCTAGATTTCGAAGCATGCAAACGACGTATCTCCTCGCTGTCCCTGCCTACTGAGCCAGCAAACTGCTCCGACGATGAACGATCCCTGTACCTTAGGACCGTTATAGACTATTCACAAACACAAAGTGTACACGCATTAGGCGCACTGCTTAGATATTTGGATTTGAACTGGGCTAAGCTGTGCATGGATCTGCATGGAAAACCACAATTTCTTAGTATAAGGATTATTTCACTGTAAGTTAGAAAATTAAAGCCCACTAAGTGAGTAGGATACCATCATTAAAATATTACCAAGAACTATTTAGCGCAAAAAAGAATACTTTTTTTTAAGTTTTTCGCCAGTGATTTACGTGTGGGACCCATAATTCGGCATGAATGGGTGGTCTCTAGCGGAGTGAAACCACGGTCTCGCCGCGTGATTGAGGTAACCGAAGGCCCAAACCTTCCCCTCCTCCGATCCCTAAATCCCCAAAAGGTTGGCACAATGCACTCGTAACTCTTCCATTGTTGCGGGTGTCCAATGGGCGACGTTGATTGCTTACCATCAGGTAATCCGTCTGCTCGTTTGCCGACCTATCATGAAAAAAGGACCTAGTACTTAAATAACTAGGTGGTTATACCTTCATTATCTCTTGTTATTGAAAATGAGTTTTATAGACATCAGCTATAGATGCACCACCAATTTTCTAAACCATTAAATAACCTTCTCAGTGCAGACATAGTAACGATAGACGAGGACACGTACCGAGGGCTGCAAGTGTTCAGTGCGGTGGCGCACCCGAGCGCCTTCAAGCGAGGAGTGCGCGGCTCCAGCAGGGAGGGACTCAGCCTCTTCCAGCTGTTCAGCCGCTGTGCTTCCAAGTTAGGGCAGCGCCGGATGAGGTAGGTAACTTGTATTCGGGCTCTGAATGTAAGCACATCGATAAAACTGCAGGAAAAAAACCCGAAATCATTTTACATGATTTTTATATTATCTAGTAAATGCAAGACCTTCATCATCATCATCTCTTGTCATACGGAGAAGGTTTGAGCATCACGCTTGCTCAAAGGGGATTGGTGATTTCCAATTCATAATTATAAAAGATCAGGTTTCCTCATTACGCTTTTCTTTGCCGTGTATCAGTGGTATCGAAATAAAATTTGGTTACCTATAACGTGGAAAAAAACACATTTAAATATTTGCCAGGTTCCAAACCAGCTTATGCATGAGAAAAGGAATCCTTACCCTCCGATCCACCACGACCCATTAAACTGGCTATTTCTACTATTCTTGTACAACTTCTTCTTTACTAGAGTACTCCTACAACACCCGACATCCGACTTGGCTACGCTGGAGTTACGACAGGAATTGATAGCATACTTCATGAAGCCGCAGAGCGACGCGCTCGTCAGGAACATCTGTTCCTCCTTGCGGTTCATCAAGAATGTGCATGTAGGTACACCTTAAGGATAGAATACTATCAGTAACACATTGAATATTCACCATCATCATCAGCCTATAAGTGCCCGCTGCTGAGCAAAGGTCACTTCTCGCAGTGTTTTACCATTAATTACCACGCTTGCACAAGGCGGATGGCGGATGGTACTCCCCACCCATGAGCAGGGGGCATGAGAAGCGGGCGCCTTAACCTCCGGTTCACCACAACCTTTTTTACATTGATCATTATTAATAGAAGTAATTTTTTGTAATAAATAAACATGACATCATAGCAAAAACATTGTAACCCTTCTTTTCGAGGGGAGGAATCACTCATGACGTCATACTCTTACTGACTAAAAATTACCTCGTTCCTTCTTCTACTCCGGGCTGGGGCCGCGATACAATACTGCGCTTGATCCGCAACTTAACAGCTGTGGTTAATCTTAAACTTACCTAGTACCTCAAACTTACTTTTTAGTTTTATATAAAGTATTTACATATTGCAGGGAATTTTGAAAAAAATCAAAGCGTTATCCGCAAAACCGTATCAGTGGAAATCGTTGTACAATGTGAGTCACTTTTTATATACACAACATTATTTAAACAATATATAGGTAGGTACCTATTGAGAATAATGAAATAGGTGCGTTAACAACATTTTTCCTTTCTTGCCAGACGTTATACAACGCGGTCCTGATCTGTGAGATGTGTGAGAGTACTGGCAAAGTCAGCAAGTTCTTAGAACAACTGGCATGCTTTGACAACTCCAAGCTGTATGAGGTAACTGACGATATACTCCAAAGATATTATTTAGAAATAGGTCACTTGTCTATAAACAGATAATGTTCGCAGATGGCCTTATACATGAACAGGATTATAGACTTCGATTTATCTAAAACCGAAGGAAAGTTTACTGTTAAGCCTGGAGTGGATCCCGAATTGGATATGAGTAAGTATATATTTTAGCCTTTACAACTAGTGAACTTACTACTATCAGACTGACTTAGAATTTACTTTGGTCAAGTGGCGTATGAAAGGTTCAAGCAACTGATATACATATATACTTAGTCGGGTCATAAGTTCTGTCAAAACCTTATATTTTTAATTTTCGATTACTGGCCAGAAATTCTTCGACTTATTTTAAAAATAGAACTTTCGCGCTTGTAGAAAATAAAAAAGAAATTATTTTTTATTCATTTTTAAATATGGAGTGGTCGAATAAAGAAGACAGAATCGCGGTTATCGCGTTGCACCGCTGTGGTTACGCGCCAAAAGACATTTTCAATATTCTTCAAAATTTGAAAATAACGTTACGGTTTGTTTATCGTACTATCAAACGATACACCGAAGAGTCAAGCTTCGAAGATCGTAAGAGAAGCGGCCGACCTCGCACAGTTCGGACACATAAGGTCATCAAAGCAGTGAAGGCGCGAATCGAACGAAATCCCGTACGTAAACAAAAAATCCTAGCTCTGCAGATGGGGCTAAGCAGAACCACTGTTAAAAGAGTACTAAATGAAGACCTGGGACTACGAGCTTATCGTAAAAAGACAGGACATTTTTTGAACGAGCGTTTAAAAAAAATTAGGCTAGACAGATCCCGCGCTTTGCTACGACGGTACGCGGGAAAAAAATACCGCGAAATTCTTTTTTCGGATGAAAAAATTTTTACTATTGAAGAAAGTTTTAACAAACAAAATGATAAGGTGTATGCCCACAGCAGTGAAGAAGCAAGCGCGCGTATTGCGAGGGTCCAGCGTGGGCATTACCCTTCCTCATTCATGGTTTGGCTTGGAGTCTCATATTCAGGCGTAACTGAGGTGTTTTTCTGTGAAAAAGGTGTGAGAACTAGTGCCGAAGTTTATCAAAATACTGTCCTAACAAACATAGTGGAACCTCTTTCTCAGACAATGTTCAGGAACAGGCATTGGATATTCCAACAGGACTCTGCACCGGCTCATAAGGCACGAAGTACGCAAGACTGGTTGATCGCTCGTGGAATTGACTTCATCCGGCATGAAGACTGGCCCTCTTCTAGTCCAGATTTAAACCCACTGGACTACAAGATATGGCAATATTTGGAGGAAAAAGTCTGTGCTAAACCTCACCCGAATTTGGAGTCTCTCCGAGCATCTCTGGTTAAAGCAGCGGCAGACATAGATATGAATGTGGTGCGTGCAGCGATCGATGACTGGCCGCGTAGATTAAGGGCATGTGTTCAAAATGGGGGAGGGCATTTCGAATAATGTAAATAAAATTATATTGTACATTTAATGACCTTTCATTTCATATATAATTTTTAAATAATTGTCAAAAGGCGTATAAGTTATTACATCAAAAGTTTGTGACAGAACTTATGACCCGACTAAGTATATAGGGGAATGACGGGCTGCAGCGTAAAATTCTGGATGAGATGAGAGAATGAAATTATTAAGTAAATAGGTACTAGCTTCCGCCCGCGACTTAGCCCGCGTTGTATGCTGATAAAAAGCAGCTTGTTTTATAAGGTACCTAAGGGTTAGGTTTCTAAGGTTATAGGTAGGTTATCACCTATCTACATACCAAATTTCAACCAAATCCATCCAGCCGTTTTTGCGTGAAAGAATAACACACTTACATACATCCAAACATCCTAACAAAATTCCACATTTATAATATTAGTAGGATATTTGTTAATACGCCCACAATAGGAGTTGATTGAGACATTTAAATTTTCGAAAAAACACAACAATATTATCTTTATCATCTTTAGAAAAACAAACAATGGCGAGTCTCCACGGGTTAATGTCGGAGACAGCGAAGGTGGAAATGGAACGTCTGCCTACATACATACAGGAGTGTAGCATGCTGTACATGCCACACCTTGGGTATTTACTCGGCGTGAAAGTATGGGACGACAACTTGACTGCTGAGGATAAAGAACTGCCTGATATGAAGTTCATGGTAAGAGAATGGGATATTGCTACATAAAAAATATGGAGTTCTTAGAAATTCATCGTGTTACCAATACCACATGACTAGATCTCCATCAATATGTGTATATTGATGGAGATCTAGTCAATTAATGCTATATACAATTTTATGCTATTATACAATACAATTTTATGCTATTATAATTTTCATTTTCAGTTTCAAAACAACGACTACATTCATTACAAAAGTAAAGGATGCGAAGGTAAGTAGTTCGACTGGATAATAATTCTTAGATCACAAAAATTTACAATAATTGACTACCTATATATAATATACAGACGTACTTATTTTTTTATTATCACTTGCTATTTTTTAGGATTTAACTATGCTATTTGGAATTAAGGACATTATTTATTTTATTTATTTATTTAGGTTAGCCAACAATTGTCATAATATGTTACAATTCTCATACGAAATTCAAAGAAAAGTATCGTTTTAGACATTTCATTAAAAGTATTGAATTTGAACACTATTGTTTTTGTACCAGACTATTGTCTATTTAAACAGACTAGCGACTATAACAAAAAATTATGGAAATAAATCGCCTGTAAAATCACTATCACCTATAAGTACTCTATGCATACGTCTCAAAAGTAAAGTTCGTATAGGCGTTGTTGTTAAGACCTTCGACTTGAAACTGGTACTTATGACCCTCAGAACTGGATGTGATGATAGGCGACACGTACCCTGAGATAGTGGCGCACGAGACCCGCATCATGATGCGCCTCACTGCAGTCATGCTGGAGCATCTCCACACTCTCACTGCACTCGTTGACAAGTGTGCCGAGCTGGACTGGTAAGATACATGCAATGCCGAGAAGAGACAAAGAATAAAGAACCATTACATTTTGCGTAATACTATTAAGTAGGTTGCTATCTTGAGATATAATAAATACGGTTTATATAAGTAATCGCACAATATACGGGTATTTCACGTAAACTTATTTCACGAAAGCTCTACTAATTTCGAGTCACGCCGGGTCCTATGGGTATATATGAACGGCACGCGCGGCGCCGCGACGTCCCACACATCTCTTTTTTATACTTCCACTACTCTTCTCTCTAAGTTCAAGTAGATAAGACGCAAATAATTAAATAAAAGATATCGACCTGTATATACATAATACTTAACATACAATTTTATTTTAAAACGTCCTAATTTTAAGGCTTTCGCAAAACTTCTTCAACAGTCTTATAGCAATATCAAAAGTATGCAAGGAGTTCAACTACGTCCGTCCCACGTTAAGTAAGGAGAAAATAATCAGTATAAAGGCAGGGCGCCACCCGTTGTACATGCTGACATGTGACAGCTTTGTACCTAATGATGTGGAGTCCAGTCTGCAGGCTGGACGCGTCAAGATACTCACTGGACCAAACTCTAGCGGGAAATCCGTTTATATGAAGCAAATTGGTAAGGGCTAAGAATCATATTGTAAACATTATTTTCTTTTAATAACGTCAAAAAACATTATTTCAATTAGACCCTTACAGGCACTTTTGAATGTCAAACATTTTTTTTTATATATATTAAGTGTCAGTCTTTCGGTCAGTCCTCTTAGTGAAGTTAAGAGTCATTACAAAGTATCTCAACTCGTTTCCTGCAATAATGCACCCGTCTGGGAACAGTAAAAAGGGGTGATTTTTAGTCAGTAAATGTCTTTAGGGGAGAAGTAATTTGATTACTATCCAAATCCTAACGTTCTTAGTGAAAACTTATACAATCAAAAATCTTCTAAAGATATTTCTTAACTTACTATGAAACAATTAATTTATTTTTGTAAATAGGGCATAAAACAGCACTTTTACACTTCAAAAATTATATGTACAAAACAAGATGAAGCTGAATACTAAAAACATATAATATCTTGTATGTAGGTCTGATAGTATACCTGGCCCACGTGGGCAGCTTCGTACCAGCGGAGGCGGCCACCATCGGGGTATTGCGGCACATACACACGCGCATACAGAGCACCGAGTGTGTCGCAGCGCATATGTCGGCCTTCCTCATAGACCTCAGACAGGTACGCAAGGCCAAGCAGTCTCTTTGACTCTCATCATCATGTGCTTGTAACCTTACGCTGTAGAAATACTTTTTCCAAAGCCTGAAGAGGACGGATTAGTATATTATTAGGTTTATGGCGGTTATGCAAAACTGTTTTTAACCCTACTTGATCTAGTTGTGCTATAAATAGAAGATTTATGCTCCAAACTCACAGCAAAATAAACACTTAGCCGACTGTATCCAAGGTGGGCTGCAAATTTTAAAATAGACCTTTTGCAGTTAATACTACATAAATCAAAAACTGATTAAGTAATGACGTAGTGTTAAGAAAATAAAAAATATAAACTTCAACAATCTCATCTTCCAGATGGCTCTAGCGCTTCAGGAGTCCACCTCAAACTCCTTACTGATAGTGGATGAGTTCGGTAAGGGTACCTCAACGACGGACGGGCTGGCTCTCCTAGCGGCCTGCCTCAACACACTGCTGTTCCGCGGAGACCAGTGCCCACATGTACTGCTGGCCACGCACTACCTCCAGATCAAGGAGTATATCGTGGACACGCCCCTTGTTCGCTACCTGGTAATATGACCAATAATTATATCATAAGGAACCAACAATTGGGTAGTATTCTAGGTCAAAAATAAATTAATTCTATGTTTCAATACAATAAAATATTGAAAAATAACTATACTTTTATTCATCGATCGATCGATAGTTTTAGATATGTTGTAGCTAATTATTAAGAAATAAGTAAGCTCTTTGATTTCATAGAAAAGTATCGTTTTTGACATTTGGATAAAAGTATTGAATTTGACTAGTTGGAAACTACCGTATTAAAAAAACATGTTCTTATTAGTCCATTCTAAAACTCTTAAAAAGGGACAGTTTCAAAGATTTCACGTTTATTTTTCTACAGAGATTCGAGTACGTGATCCAAGACGGAGAGCCAGTGTTCCTGTTCCGCGTATGTGAGGGGGGCGCCACTTCCAGCTTCGCGCTGCAGGTGGCGGCCGCCGCAGGGCTCGGGCCTGCCACCGTCGCCAGAGCCAAACTTGTCATGGGCTCTGTCATGGTAATCATATTAATCAACAATAAAATGGGTTCCACTAGGAAGTGTCCTGGGTCCAACCCCTTTTTCAATATACGTTTTTTTGTTTCCAGAGTAACTCGCTACCACCAGAGAACAAACAAATAACGAGCAAACTTAATGCGTGCACAGAAAAAGTAAAAAACAAACTACTCACAGATATTTAATTATATTTTAAAATTGTTACAATACAATGTGTATAATGATATTCAGCTCTGCGCAGCTAACAACAATATTGGTATAAAATTTTAAACACATCAAAAAATTAAATTAACTTACTACTTACTCTATTCATTGACTCTTAAATAAATTATATAGTTTATACAATAAGCTGGAATGCTTCCAATGCATTGTTACGAAGCGATTCAATACATACAAGTTTACAATTCGATACGTTCTTAGGACAACAATCGATTAAGTGATAAATCTCCGTTTTTGTTATACTAGCACACCGATTACTTCATCACAAATGCTTTAGCTTTTAGCTATCAAATGCATATTATAAAACAGTCAAGCTTCGGACACAGAATTAATAAACCACTACTTTTCAAAACTTGCCATTATTCATCACATTTCCTTTGAACTCGTACAAAATCTTACATACACCATATACATATTTTATAACATCTATAATTTATCATTATTACATTTACTGTCATATAAACATAATAAGAATTTCCCTTTGAGCATTGTCACCCTAATTTGTTATGGCCGATTAAGTAAAACTATACATTAAGTAAAATATAAAGCACATTTTAATATTATCCAAGAACTTTAGATAATTGTTAGCAATGTGCTTGCCTCATACAACCAAATAAATGCTTGTATACAACCACAAAATTTCTTTAAATGATATGGAGTGTTCTGACCCGTCTGTGTACATGGTTGGCGCTGGTCAAGTTTACATAGACTTCATCTGCTGCATCAGTTCTTCGAGAGAGAGCTCGGAGGCTGCAACAGCACCCCCAGTACTCGATTCTGGAGTGCTATTGTCTACGGGAACACTGTAGGCCACCTAGTAAACACAAGACATAATATTCATTGCATGTATAGAGTTTTAATGTTATCCCTTCATTACTGGACACCTGTATAAAAAGCAAATATGAAGATAAAATTGTGCCGACTCAAGGACGTAGTAAGTATACCACCAGACGTATGTATGTATCATTAACAAGATTTTAGTCAGTAAGAGTCCGACATAGAAAGTGTATCCGTGAGGATTTCTAAGTTTATAAAAAAAAAATATGCATTACCTGAACCCCATCGACTAACTTGAGATGTGAGCAGTCATCATCCTCAGGTGTGTTTTCATCAACTAAACTGATTCCTGTAAAATAAGGGCTATAATATGTAATGTGTAAAAATTTAAACAAAATAATCGAAATCCTGGCCAAATGATTTTCAATTCCTACACAAAATCTGTTTACATTATGGCCATATACAAAATATCTAGCCATTCTCGCGCGATTTCACCCGCTGTTTGGCTCCATTTGATATATGTGTCATGTTTTTATAGCCTATATCACCCAGGTTTATTGTAGTGAAAGAATTTTCGAAATCCGACTGGCGGTTCCAAGGATTACCTCCTACATACAAACTTTAACTCTTTATGATATTAGTAGGTATAGATGATGAACATACCCCATTCATTATCAGCATGCACTGGTGCTGGGTCCTCAGTCACCTCAGTGGCAAGCTCCACAACAGGCCTCAACCTATACTCCTCCTGACGCAGGCGGCAGTACATGTCATCGCATTGAAGATTCGGCTGAAAACATATTCATTTATCTATTATAACATTAATATCTTTATTAAGAACAGAAGACGAATTTTGACCATTATTGTGGTACATACTATTCACTCAATAACACAAAGTAACAATATGACAACTGTTATAATGCACTGTAAATGTAACGATTTTAATGTTGATGCTAATGCATGTAGTATCAGATCTAAATTCACACTAAGCAATATTTTATATTGGTTCCGTTTGACAAAATTAAATATGAGATTATCTAATGAGAGATACTGAGTTTTTCACTATCCTATAATGCATATCGATATTTCAGCATTTTTTTCTAAAACCTTTTAAAATAGAATAATGTTTAAAAGAAATAAATATTTTGCTCACCTTTAAAGCCATTGTGGGGAAGAAATCTGTTAGAGCACTGTATCCCAGATAATGGCTGACTGTGCCAAACTCTAGCAAATATTTCAATGTGTTTTGAACTGAAATAGAATAAAATTATGTTTAAGAAATACAATAAAATAATAACATACACATTAACAAGAAAGGAATGTAAATAATGTTTGAATATATCACCTAGGAATCCTGCCACAATACCCATAGTTGTTGGCAGACTGGCAGCACACACTCCCTCCCTCTTCAATGTTTTCTCATCAATTTTCGATGCAACTACTAAAGGCGGCGCACACTGAAACAGTCAGATAAACCAAATATATTTTTATGATCTTCCATATCAAGCAGTGGCACATTATAAAGTTAGGAAGTTCCCTGCCAACTGTTAAAATATTGTCAATTTTTCAACTTAATTGCAAAAGGATAATGATGAAATTTAACTACCGTAAAACTGGGTGAATAGAATTTGAGGAGTGAATAGATACAGAAAAGGGGTGAATAGATGTTGGAGATTTGCCTAGTAACTATTCACCTCTCTTCTGCGTCTATTCACCCCATTTCACTGTAAGTTAAGTTTAAGAGTTGTCATTGGCATTTATAGATGATTAACATACATAATATATATTTTACACTTACAGCAAAACAAGCAGTCTGGCCTGGCACAATGAACTGTATGTGTCCAGACACAGCATTCTCACTGACTCCAGATTCAAACCACTTTTGGTTGAGTTCATTGCAGGCTGTGTTGATAGCCATGCGAGCCTCAAAGTTGTCTACACAGCTCAACACTAGATCTACTGGGCCCCCTGTCAAACTTCCAGTTCTGGAAAAATGTTGAACAGAGTCTAAGTGCAAGAAATTATTTTTTTATAAGAAAATTGTAATGAATCTCTTATTTGCGAAATTTATATTTTAATTAACAAATTTGGTCAACAATTTTTGTCAAGAGGAATTAAGAAATTAAAGTTTTGTGTTTATGGTTTAATAATGACACTAGGATGTAGTTAAATCTTACTTAATAGTATCACAGAACTTCTGGAAGTTGTCAACTGTGGTGATATTGTAGTTGTAAGCATCAATGGCAACATCGGGGTTGATGTTCTGCAGGGTAGAGGCCGCAGCATCCACCTTGCTGAGACCAGCCTGGTGCGGCTGGAAGAACAGCCTGTTCATGTTCGCCAACTCCACTTTGTCATAGTCAAACAGAATCAACTGGAAAGAAATATTGGAAATGAAATTCTGCAAGCCATAATATTCTGAGCAAGACCTATATTAACATTCTGTAACAAGAATCACTAAAACAAACTAAAATTTTAAATTAGGTATTATTGTAATCAAAGAATACTTTAATAAATCTTATAAAATCACACTTTTGAAACACTAAGATTTTTCTACATCAGTCTATCTTTCATTGAAGCTTGGTTTTTGGTAACAAAAACTAATTAATTTCTATTGCATAACGTTTATACATGGACAAAGGTAAAGATATCCAATTAATGTAATTGTAAGTAACTAACAAGTTTATCTTACCTTTCCGATCCCACATCTGGTAAGCATTTCAGCAGTAACACTGCCAACACCTCCGACCCCCACCACAGCTACTGACATTTCACGGATCTTCTCATAGTTGTCAACAATGCCCATCCGCTTCAGAGCCATCAGACGACTACAAACAAATAATCAGATACTTCCATTATATTTACTTAAAAGCTAGTTTGAATTCTTAGTTATAATTGAATACACATCTAAAACATTACTTAACACCAAGTAATTACGGATGTTATTAAATTTCTATTACATTTAGACAGAGCTAACTTCATAACAGATGGCAACATATTGTCCAAATTATCTTCATGTAATCCTCAAATCTGAATCACAATGTTAGATAAACTGAGTCGTACGAATAGTGTTGAAATGAAATATTTCAAAAATAATGTATTTAGCACACCTGACTACGGAAAATTGTTAATTACCTGTATGGATTAGAATCCACAACTTCGGACGACATGACGTCGATTTTTTGGCGTGCTGGGCCCACATTTCCCTGTAGAGAAGCAAGTTGGGCTTCCAGCTCCTTCACTTTCTTCTGTAACTCCTCCACGGTGGACATTTTCTCTTAATTTTTCACAAAATCTAGAAAATCTCAGTTTACTATCGACAAGTCTTCACTCTTACTTTTTTTAATTGTCAATGTCAAAGTGACATTTCTTGCCACGATATCAACACATTTCATTACACGCTATACTCACATAGTGCCTATTCCTTTTAAAACTTTTACATAAGTTAATCTGGGTGTTGTAGAAACAATTGTATTAAATTTTATAAAAAAAAACACATTTGTCATATTATCCTCCTGTGATGATTTTAGGCGCAATAAGGTACCGCGGCCTCGGCCTGAAACAGGAAAAGGAACGGGGTAGTTTTTAGTCAGTTCGGTAAGAGAATGACTGTAAAGTCTCGCCTGGGCGAAAAAAAATTTTATGTCCTTCAAAAAATGTACCGACCAAGAACGGAAATAGGAACTTCTAAAAAAAAGTGCATATTGTATTATACATTTTTTTCTATCAAAAAAAAAAAATACTTTTATAGGCCTAGCAATATCTTTATTACAGGTAAATAGGTACCAAAATTATAAAAAAAAATCAAGACTGTGACTAATGCTATATTCAGATCGGCAAAATACTTGTAGGTACCTATTAATTCTAATCTAATAACTAGTCTTTTAGAATAAAAAATAAATATTTTGTAGTCTAACGTAAACAAACAGGTTGTTGTCTTTATTATACCTAATACATAATTAAAATCAACGACCTTCATAGGGTCAACGTCCATTGGGTAAAGTTTTGGATGAGAAGTAGGTAGGTATAAAGTTAAAGAGAATTTCAACCGGTATGCATATGGCAACTTGTGGGCAGCTAGCTGTTTCGTAAACCAAATGAGTAGGTCAGATCAAGAATCAGAACCTCTTTTAATGACCAATTTAGTTTCTGATACTTAAATAACCAATTTTTCTGTGATGGTTTTTGTTTAGATGAGCAAAGACGTAGGCTTAGATAGAATGTACCTAAGTCTTTTAGGAGTTATGATTATTAGTAAGTTTAGAGAGAAGACAGTTAGAGAAACATGCTCAGTAATTTTTTTAGGTCGGCAAACATTTTGAGACGGGCCGGAGGTTGAGGGGTGGCCCGGAGGTTAAGGAGCCCACTTCTCATGCATGAGAGTGTGAGTTCGAAACCTGGCACGTACCAATGTGACTTTTTCCGAGTTACATGTACTTTCTTCGATTATTTAGACACCACTGACATACGGTGAAGGTAAACATTGTAAGGAAATCTGCACTTATAATTTCTAATTATAAGTTTGAAATCCCCAACCCGCATTGAGCAAGCGTGGTGATTAATGCTCTTACCTTCTCCGTATGAGAAGAGGCCTTTGTTAGTTCAGCAGTAGGCACTTATAGGCTGATGATGATGAAACATTTTGAGGACTTTTTAATTAAATAAGGTACAAGTTCACATAAGTATGTTTTTCTATTTTTCAACTTTAACTGCTTACTTAATATGTATTGTATTAGCGCGTGGGAGAGCCAAGCTCCGGCACGAATAGGTCGACTTAACCGGAATGATACCACAGCCTCACAGAAAACGTGCGTGGAACAACGACAGTGTTGTGTTTTTCTTCCCCCTTCACCGAAAAGCGAATCCCCAAAGTGCTGACAACGCACAAGATCTTGTCTGGTGTTACGGTAACTGATGTCCATAGGCGGTGCTGATTGATTACCTACCATCAGCCGGGTAATCCGTCTGCTTGTTTACATCATACACATAAAATAAAAAAACACAACATAACTAATTACAAATTAGGCGTTTTAAAAAAATACAGCAACATCAGTTTGAGTGCTATCAAAGGAACTGGCAGGAAGGTACACGCACGGTGTATAGGTAGCGTTTTAAAAAAAAAACAAACATCAACACAATAAATAATGTTAAGCAAAAAGTTCCGTAAAAAGTAGTGGTTTATAATAGTTTATATTTATCAACCACATTTATCTATTACTAGCTACTCTCCTACGGTTCCCCTCGCTGCTGGGCTCCATTTGATTGTAGCGTGATGTTTATAGCCTGTAGCATTCAGGAACATTGTAGCTATCTATCAGTGAAAGAATTTTAGAAATCCGACCAGCGGTTCCAAAGATTACTTCCTACATACAAACTTAATTGGACCTCTTCATAATATTAGTATAGATATAGATAATATGCTATTTAATACATACAGACGCAATAATGCTATTTAAATTGAATAGTACCTATGTCATAAATTAAAAAAAAATGAACACCTATTGTTTTATAACAGAAAAATAAGTTTCTATAATACCTACACTCGAATCATATTCAATAATCGAATGGTTAAGGGGCTTGGACTAAAGTTATCCTGCAAGGTCAAAGTAACCCCAAACTTACCCGGTACCGAAATAATTCAAATATCGGAAATCTAAATAGTGCCTACCTTATTCTAATTCAATTATTACGAACGTAGTGCACAAAAATGCATAAAATATCTGCGTCATACGTGATATTTCTACAATTTTGAAGGTTAATCACCACTACACTACAAAGCAAGTCTCTTTTAAAATAATAAAACATATAAAATACCAGCGTCAAACAGAATGCATCGAGCACTAAGCATATTCAGTACCTAACTGACTCTGACCTAGGAATGTACCTACCTACTCAAAAAAACTGTTAAAGTAAAATCTACGTCGCAATAAAAACATGGCCAGTGTTATATCAAAATTTAAAAAAGTAATTCTGTTTCTAAGAACACTGCTTTAAAATGCTAGGAGATACAAACACACGTAAGTAACTTATTGAATGAAAATATTATAAACAACAACAAACTATGCAAAGGTCCAACCTTAAAGTTCCTCCTATTTCGTAATATTATAAAACATGTGATAAAAACTGGTTCAAAAATGGTAGGGCCCTATAATCCGACCAAATTCAAAAGCCGTAGTACAATGCTGCAGACAACGTCGATAGCTTTAATTAACATCAGCTGGGTTTTCTAAAGGCTCTTCATTACTTAGTGATAGGCAATGCTGTTGGCTGCGCGTTGACTTGCCGGTGCACGCGGTTATTTAAAAAGTAAATAAATAGTCTATTCCAACTGTTCTTTCTTAGTTTAAAAAAGTGAATGAATGAATGGATTGTTTAAAAATATAATGCAGTGAAGTTGTGATCATTCTATTGTATTTTTTTAGAAAAAGGAAAAGTTAAACAAGTAAGTTAAAATTAGCTACTTACCTATGAGCTTTTTTACGTAATATTGCTGTAAGTATTTATTACTTACTATACAAATAAATATTTATTTTATGAAGGTTTTCCGTGATTTAATAATGGGCAAAACATAAGTACTTATATGAAACTTTTGAAATTATTGGGAAAAGTTCTTCAATAAATAAAGTAATTTGGTACACGCCCGTTTAATTATGCATAGATATTTCTAGACCAGTCTATTCCTTATAATATTTCGAAATAATAAAAATTATAAGCTTTTTCAAAAATAGATACTTAGTCTACCTAATGTCTTTTGTAATGAATTCATTTCAGACGCGCTATAATCTGTTATACCGACTTATACCTAAAAGAAAATATACGGCCTAAGAACTAGTTTTTTGCGTATTTTTCCAAAAGCGTAAAAACATGTAGTGTGATATATTTAAGCGATCAGAAATTCATCTCCTTTCCTTTTTTATCGTAGTACACAAAAGATTGATAACGGCCCACTGACCGAATATTTAATTCAACAAAAGTTTTTGTTGTGTAATTACATGACTATGGACTACATTATATAAAAATAATAATTAAGTAAATGGACATCTTTCACAATGAACAAATTAGTTACTTACATAGGTTTTCGAATCGTAATTAATTAAGTATGTACTTGAGTCACAGAATATAGCTTTTTTTAATTAGGTATTTATTGCGATTAACAATACTTTTATGTAATTTACTTGTCCATAAACCATTAATACCATTACCTTCCTAAGAAAGTAAGAGCCTGCTTTAGCGTTGTTTTGCTATGTTAGTAAGGTTACCGAAGACCCAATCCTACCCTTCCCCACCCCAATCCCGAAATCTCCAAAACCCTCAACTATAAACAGCTGGCAACGAGCCAACTCGAAACTCCTCTTGCATGCAGCGGGTGTCCAGTGCCGATTGAAAAAAAAATTTGAATATACAACGTAATTTGTATCAACTAATAATTGCTACATGCGTTTACCGCAAACTTAATGGTTAGGGTCATTTATGTATAGCATATAGGTAGGTAGGTTTATAGGAAAATGGATTTTCTTTATTAACATTATAAATCCACTTATACGAAACAGTTTTTCAGATGTGAGCTCCAATATCACTGAAACCTTTCAAATTCAATTGATTAACGCGATCTCTTTTACGCCCCTCAAGTAACTTAACGTTAAAAACAAATGACTTCTACGTAGACTAGTTCTAAACTATTAGGGAAATTAATAGTCAGAATATCTACTTAAATAAAATTCCATAGCAATACTTACCTTTTTTTCTTTTTTTTATGTAATAGGTCGGCAAACGAGCAGACGGATTACCTGATGGTAAGCAATCAGCGCCGCCCATGGACACTCGCAACGGAGGAGTTACGAGTGCGTTGCCAACCATATAGGGATTAGGGATTGAGGAGGAGGAAACACAACGCAGTGGTTATTTCACGCCGGTTTTCTGTGAGGCTGTGGTATCACTCCGGTCGAGCCGACCCATTCGTGCCGAAGCATGGCTCTCCCACTACCTAATAAATACTTATGTTTAATCATTTTTTTAATAACCCCTTCCCCGTGACATAGGACTCATAATTCAGTGCTTCAGACTACCCGAAGGAATAGTCAGTTATAGATTCTTTTGAGAGAGTCAGTAATCCAATAAGCTTATGATACACGCACGAAGCGGTTGGTTTCCAGTTTTATAATCCGAACCGCTAAGGAGTTGAATTCTTTGCTTCAGTCTGTGGTCCCCGAAGGGGATGAGCTGGGTGTCTTCGCAGCCCGAGTGAATAGGTTGCTTATGGGTAGGAATGCTCCATCGTAGGTCGCATTATCGTTTACCACCAGGCCTAATAGCGGCAAAATGTCTGCCCAATCAGTAGTAAAAAAACTTCTCCCCCTGTCAGAGCCTTATGAATAAAAGCCACCCCATTCCTTCTCCTGCTCCGAAGTCCGAGGCGAGCCGCAGTAGGTACATCTTATGCTTGGACCAGCAACACCCAAAATCCAGGAGTCCTTGAAAGATCAAAAAGCTGTATACTTTAGTGCTTTACCTGTGAGTGGCAAAAAGGTCATTGCAAGTCAGTGATCTACTGATTTTCTTTTTTAATAATAAGGTAGGTAAGTGGTTACACAAGTTATGCAACCTTGGTCCGCACATTAGGTCATAATATACTATTAGTTAGAGTACCTACTAATTTAGGTACTTGTTCTTATTATTTTCGCTTCCTAGTTTTTTAATACCTACGTCGGTCATAAGGTACTGCGAAATATCTATAGTTATGTTTATGCTTACCTACTAGCCAATAGCACCAACTGATTCCAATGGTAATAATAATTAATATTACAGTTCTTAACAATAAAATTCCATTTTTAAAAAGCTTGCTAGTGAAACCTACCGTCGCCCCTCACTTTACATTATCCTCTTGTCTCTACATACTGTGAGAACGAGACATCAGGGTGGTTCTTAGTCAATAACATATTTTCTTTCGCCTTCCCCAGAAGAGAAGCATTTGGAATTGTAGACAATATTGGTATTTACTTATAAACAGCGCAAAAGTGTGCGTAGCTTTATTTAGCTATCTCTTAAACTATAAAATACCAGAAATAAATAATGGAGCACAATAAATGTCTCCATATTTCAAGATGTGTACGCAACTCTATAATTTTTTTGACCTCTAAAGAGGTGTCCATCTCCACGCACGTAGTCAATGGCTATTTGATGGCTACATCCGCAATCTATTTGTCTTCACATGAGCCGTCAACTACAAAGGGCAAGACCCTACATACAGTGACCAATCTAATAGAATAAATAACTACCTACATGATAGATCTTCATGGAACTTTTTTAAAAGAATCAGGATTTGAGTATCATTTCGTAATACATACATACACCAACCGAAAGATACTTAAGTATATACATATATACTTATACACTTATAGTATATAAGTATATATTAAAATAGTAGTTAAATTAGTAATAGTAGTTAAATAGCAACCAAAAAACCAGTTAGGTTTAAACTTGTGCTATCATGAATCATCTCAAATCGAGACAAATTTAGTTACAGTTTTATACGTGTACGTTACTGTCGAAATTAATTTAAATTGTGTAAATCAGTAGGAGAAAACATTCTTAAATTATACTTAAGTAATATTTCTTAGGTTTACATTAAATATTTAAATAAAAGATATCAAAATGTTAACCAATTTGTTCTTCACGGTACTCATTTTATTACATAACCTTTGAAAAGATGCCAAATAATAATTAATTCACCACTGACATACGGAGGAAAACATTTTGAGGAAACCTGAACTTATAATTTCTGATTATACGTTTGAAATCGCCCATCCGCATTGAGTTCCTAAGCGTGGTTGATTAATGCTCAAACCCTCTCCGTCTGAGTAGAGGCCTTTGCTCATCAGGGGCACTTATAGGCTGTTATGTAAAAAAGTGTAATTTATATAGAAACAAGAACCTATGACGTAAAACTTACTATTCCTGATAAGAGCGAATTATTCTGTCAATAACTACATACCTGAACGATATCATCTCTTTAAAACCAATTACCCTGTTGAATAAAATTCTGGCGTAATATTCTTACTTAGACCGGTTTAATTCAAACTATTAATTGTTAATAAACTTTAATTGTTGCAATCAAGATAATTTACTTGTTCGCTTCATCACTGAGAGAAAACAAATACCTTTATTAATAACATGAATTATTATTAGGTTACTACCCTAAATTAAGGTACAAATAGCCATGCTTCGGCAACAATGGGTCGACTCAACCGGAGTGATGACACGGTCTCAAAGAAATCCGGCGTGACACAACCACAGGGTTGTTTTTCGCCGTATGAATGAGATTAACTAAGGCCCAATCCTTTCTCTCCCCTACCCTTTCTCGATCCCTAAATCTCCAAAATCCTAATCTTAACAAAAAGGTCGGCAACGCAATCGCTTATTGATTACCATCAGGTAATTTGTCTGCTCGTTTGCCATTCTATTACAATATAAAAAAGGCTTTAATTACTGTACCTACGAAATAATGAGTTATTGATTCATCGAATTTACATAATAATTAAGTAATCTACAAATTATTGTAAATTACGTACTTACTTTGTGTAATATCACAAATGTTTTAATTTTCACATAAACTAATGAGAATATTAACAAAGTATGAGGTTCAATATTCATCCTAATCACTTCTAGTAGCTCACCTCTACACGGTTTATTTGCATAGTGTATCAGTGTTGTTGTGGTTGCCATTGACGTCCCATACTATGTATATCGTGTTAAACTTTATTCAAAAACTTTACTAGTGAAAGTGCAAGTTAAAAATACTAAGGTAAATCTATACTTTTATACTATAACTATCTACTAATATAGGTACTAGGTATAGGTACTAAGGTATACTTATATTAAAAAGCTGTAGAGACAGTTTATTTGTTTGTTAGTTTGAACTACGCGCTAACCTGCGGTGCCTACCTACTACATATCTACTGATTTTAATTAAACATTTCTTTTTGTCTATTTACCGATGGATATGGGTATACTCCATATCCTACCTCGTAAACATAAACATCACGAGCAGCGGGCAAAACTGAGCATTATACATAAAGAATTATGGAAACTGTTTCATTTGTATTACATTTAATTTTGTTAGGAAAGGAATTACTTTTATTTATGGAAAGCAAATGATATACATACCTACTACCGTAATAAAATTTCTTAGCCACCTATTTCGAACATAACAACGATTCAATTTACTTAACTTTAATTAAATTGAAATCATCCGAGCGACTGTAAAATCACGGAACACTTCAATTAAGATATAATCTTTTCAAAGAAACGTTGTCCAAAACTGAGGTTAAATCTGTTGTGCCGGTAAAGTGCGACAGAAGAGTAATGAGTCATTACACTTATTTAGTTATCGCTGTAATCCATATGCATGCGATGCAGGCAGATAGCATTTTATTTACTCTTAGATATCAAGCTGTTACGAACGTGGTGTGTGTTTGATGTTAATAAAATATCATGCGTTTGACTTGTGGGACATTAAAAATTAACATTTATGAGTAACCCGCGAATTTTAGTTAATTTAGTATGTCTCACGATAGTTATTATAAAAACATTTATGAATATTTCCTGTTTGGATAATTCGTCAAACCCCAAGCAAACGCCGGGGTTGGCGCACCTATAATATTGTTCTTCTATTGTATCTCGAATTAAAGGTTAATAATTAGCGGCCCGCCCTGGCTTCAAACGGGTGCAATGCTTGCTTGCTTACTAAATTTCCCTACTATTTTATTATACATATAAGTAGATAAACATTCCTTTTCAATCACACTATCTATAAAAAAGTATCAATATCCGTTGCGCAGTTTTAAAGGTTTAAGCATACATAGTGATGAGCGTTGAGCGTATGGCGCGTAGCGTTCCGCGTGCGCCTCAAAGAACCAATAGACCACCACAGACGGGGCCCTATAGGGCTGTGTTCAGCAATTTGATGATTTTCGCCTTACAAAAAAAACATACATAGTGATATAATATGGACAGAGAAAGTGAATTTGTTTTTTTTTTTGGGATATAGGGACAGAAAAGTGACTTTGTTTTATACTCTGAAGGTAGTGATACGTTTCGAGCTTTTTCATTCACTTCTAGTCAGACTCAAAAGCAATCTGAATATAACACGAACTAACTCAATAAACGCCAAAACTAATAAGTATAGTCGATAATTATCGACTATACTATTATTAATAATCGACATAATATAAATGTTTCCTTAATTATTAATGTAATTCTGAACTGATATGGAAATTTATTATTAATGAAGTTGAATATCGAAGTTTGTACATATAGTACAACTTGTAATAAAGACTTAAAGATATGAATTGAAAATCGTTTACCTTCGCCATCTTAGGTACTACTACTGTGCAATAACGATGTATATGGGTTGATTTTAATGAATATAAGTAAGGGGTTTAGCACGGACTCGTTTCTTAATATTTTGGAAAAGTAACCAAGATTTTTCAGTGTAGAATTTTCGATTACGGTTACTATTGAGTCTGAACTTTGAGGCATTTAGGATAAGTCACATTGTAGGTACTATCTCTCATGCATGAGGTTACGGGTTTGAAACCTGGAAAGTACTTACATATGTAACTTTTCTAAGTTGCGTTCTATGATTTTTTTATACACCACTGTAATAGAGTGAACGAAAACGTGAACGAAATAATATTTTTTAAATCGTCAATCCGTCTTGAGTGAGCGCTGAGATTATTTATCCGCCATCAGATTATTTTTTACTCTAATGAAAGCTCCTATGAGCATTACAATCTTCAGATATTTTATCTTAATATATATAATGATACCCTGAAACGCCATAAATCTAGTTCAGGTGATCCCTAAGCACTTTATATTTCAAAGACATAAACTCTTTGTATATCAAAATAATAGCTAGCTCTATAAGGTGTGATCTATGTTTTTCAATAAATTCATTTTATTTTATTTATCTTCCAGCGCCGAATATTGTCTGCCGTTTACTTATCTACTGTCCAAACTTTTTCTTAACATCTCTATGTGATGATTAATCATGAATACCATGCGTTCAGGTGATGATGCAGGCGTCTTCGAGCAGCGAGCGCACTCCGCTGGTGCAGCCGACGTATGTGTTCGAGTCCAGCCTCGCTCGCCGCTACCAGAAGAGGCTGCACCACATGCAGTGTGTTATGTGTGTTTTTATCATGTAAGTATGGTTACACAACGTCCAATGTCGGATAAAAATATAGATTTGGCCAGTAGCCGATTCTCAGACCTAATTAGTTGATATTAGTTGATAGGTATGCATATAAAATTTGGTAAAAATTAGTAAAGCTGTTTCTGAGTTCTAAAACGGATAATGAAGAGCCTGCCTGTTGCAAGAGATTTTAGAAGAAATAAGCCGTGCCTTTGTATTGTATTTTTGTATTATTATACATAAAATATTAAATACTAGATACTCTCGCGCGGTTTCACCCACTGCTCGGCTCCATTTAATCATAGCGTGATGTTTTAGAGTGCTGTACTCAGGAACATTGTACCTATCTATCTATACCTATATGGAATTTTGGCAATCCGACCAGCGGTTCCAAAGATTATCCCCTACATACAAACTTACAAACATTTACCTCTTTATAATATAATAATTATGTATTAGTATGGAAATAAATGAAATAATAAATCCCTAAAAATTCTGGTTGGAAAATTCTGATTCTGCATAATCAATTTAAAAAGCTGATAATTATTTATAAATGTACCTTAAAATAGTAAATAATATGTAATGGAAATATTAAGCTTAATTCAAAATGTAAGAAAAGGAGGTTAAAATTTATTCTTATTTTTTAATGAAACAGGTTCCTAAAACAAAAGTCTTGGCTCCGTATCAATTAAATAGTTTCTATATCAAATCGAGGGTCTAGCTGTTATTCAAAAACCAAGGCCTCGAAACTTTTTTGCCTGTTTTCGACAAGACAGAATTTAAAATACAATTTTATTAAAATTGTTAATTCCCTTATTATTCTTCTTTTTCCGGCTGACTATTGAGACCTATATGCAACAACATATACATATATAAAACTTTTTTAAACTATCATCCTTAGGTTGGGCCTCTGGTAACTTTACTCATTCGTATTTTTGAGTGATTGTTGTTTCACGTCAGTTTTCTGTAAAACCGCGGTCTTCAGGTACAAATTTAGGAAACTTTCAACTTAAGATTTTTTATGACTAAATACTTATGTACTTATTTTCTTTAGCGCGATACTAATGGTGGCTCTACTGGTCACCGTATCATACAACTTGAGCCAAGATACAGATGATGATATCACCACGGAGCCTAGTGAACCTGCACTGCCTATACCAGGGAATCTGACGCTGCTGAAGATGTCTCCCGGCATGGTGCCATCTGGTAACCTCACTGCTGCTAACGGAACGTTGATGGCTGTGCCGCCTGCCTTGCAGCCATTGCTGGACCTGAAGTGGCCTTTGAAAGGTATGTGAAGGACCTAATCTTTACGAAAATAGCTTTACTCGGGCTACCTCTTTTCAGATTGACTTTTTTCTCTTATTATTCGTCTGACGGCGAGAAAGAGGAATAGAGCTACAAAAAGTGTATAGCTCCATCCCTCTTTCTCGCCCGGAAGATTGACGCTTTAGCAAGTCATGGTAGGCCCAAGGGCCAATGGTTCCATATTTGTAATTGTCTTCCATTCCTAATACTCTTTGTTTAAAAAAAAATAAACAACAAAACATCGTGTCCATTCATAAATATCAATTTCCTAAGATCAACGTAACAATTAGTTTATTTTGGTATTCATTACAACAAACGTAGATTTCCGCGCTTTATTTTAATTTGCTGTGTTTGACGCCATCTAACGAAACGCTGACGTATTAATAATAATATATAGTGGAAGAGAATGCCAATGAAATACTTATTAGATATAAATAACTCCATATAAGAATTCTGCTATTATAAAATATTACACATAATTATACAAATTATGTTAATCTTAAAACATTGTAATCGAATTACAATATCTGTTTTCTAATGTATCAATTTCCTTTATTAATAAGTATAAGTTATTATAATAATTTATATATTTGTATTTAAATACAGTGGAGGAATGTAATATAGGGTCATCATTATTCGGAGATAATGGCGCTTATTTTAAAATAATAAAATGATGAATGAAATAACACCATTCATTGTGAATAAAATTAAGAATGTTTTCTATAAAAAAACTATTCAACATTTTGTTCTGTGAATACGTATAAGTTACGTAGCTTGGTCCTCTACATCTTCCCTAGTTGCGAAACTTCTAGAAATAAAAATTAAGCTATAATATACATAAAAAAAATATCTTACATATATTCCAATAAATATTCTAAACGCTAAGTAGTAGGTTTTCAAAAAAGACAAATAGTTTATTTTTAGATATTTTAAATTAACGAATATTATTCATACAATCTACATACCGTATATTGATTAACTGTTATCTTAATAACTGCTTTACTCAGATGCAATTGAATTTTAAGTGTGGGAGAGCCATGCAAATGATCCGGCTCGACCCGAGAATACGGTCGTGAAACAACCACATCATTAATTCGCAACATGAGTGTAATTGCTGAACGTCTCTTCTTCTCTCCCCCATCTCAATCCTCAAACTCCTAACCCCCAAAAGATCGGAAACCCACTTGTAACTCCTGGTGTTGCGAGTGTCCAAGGATAGCACCGATTGCTTACCATCAGGTAATCGCGTAGCAGGGGTTACCTACGGGGCCAGCGCAATAAGGTATCGCGGCCTCAGCCTAAAGCAGGAAAAGGAACGGGAGGGGTTTACGTCAGTAAGAATCTGACACTCCCTCTCATCATATCCTGGGTCAGAAAAGGTTTTCTTTCACAAAAAATGTAATCGGCTTGCTCATGTGCCCAACCTATTCCTTATAAAAAACGCTCGCCAATAGAAGCTAACCGTTCATATATTGTACATAGATAATATAAGAACCGTACACATACGTGTAGAAGGAAAAAACGCATATAGGTAGACTGGGTACGGTTGTGCCAGGGTACCGTTGTGACAGTCGCTGTATTGTCGAAAATATAGGGATTAGCGGGGGGCGTGCATGGGGAAAGACGGGCGCCTTGCACGTGTCAACCTGTGTCACAGTGTTGCGTCATCCGACGAGCAGAGTGTAAGTGACCAGGAGCACATTTTGATTTTTGAATGCAAAAAGTAAGTATTTTGATTCATTATTATTTCGTAATTGCTATTACATGTATACTGATAGGGTATTGAGTGTTGTTCATGGATATAAATCAAATAGTAGCAGTGTAATATCAGTGGTTACATTTATTGTAGGCTATTTTGTTTTGACGTGGTGGTGTTTCTTTTATTAAAACGATCTGTGGGTACAGTTGTGACATTTTTACTGGGTACGGTTGTGACATAAGTAAAAGCGGTTGTTTATTGTTTTAGATGCCTAGAATACGCAAACGAAAGACTACAAGAGCACAGTGCAGCTTGAATCAGTGTGAAGATGCTTACAAAGAAACTAAACGCGGGACTTCTTTGCGACAAGCTGCGGAAATGCATGATGTTAATTGCACTGACCTAATAATAAAAATCCACCACTTTCACCTTCTATATTAGACAATACCAAGCCAAAATTTTAGCAATGTTCAACCATCTACTTCTGCCATACCATCAGTTTTTTCTCCTGAAATTGTTCGGCCCTTTCCAAAAGCTTCCCAAAGAAAAACGCGAGGACCTATATAGAACCAAGAAGTCTACGATTTGTAGGACACGCCTGAAAAAGAGGCAGTCGAAGGCAAGAATATGAAGCAAAAGAAAAACGACTGAAGGCAAAGGGCATCAAAAAAAATCTCAATGAGCCGAAAGGAAAAGGAAAAGGTAAAGCAACAAAAAGGAAACAATCACCGTCAATATCAGATGAAGATTTTATAAATTTTCACATGCTACATTTCTAAAAAATATTTGAGTTCCTGTTTAAAAGATTTTGAGCACGTTGTTATGTTTTGAGTTTAGTTTCAAAATAGAAACTTAGAGTTTAAGTTCTAATGTGATTATGAACATGATTAATATATTATATTTGTTAAGTCCGCTTTAACTAATTTTAAGTGCAGACTGTTATAAATACTTTAAGGTACTTAAATAGTGGGTATAGATGAAGACTGACTGTACTAATGAAGACTACTGATTGTAACCAAAGATCCTATAGTGCCTTATATGTTGTAAGAAATTAAAATGTTCAAAGATTTTATTTCTTTTGTTAGGAAAGTATACTTTAGTTGATTATTATATAAAATAAATATGTTTTGCAATTAAAGTGTTTTATTGACATTTTAGAGTATTTTTATCTTATTTTGTGATCATATTACAGTATTTTCATCGTGTCACTATTGACCCCCAGTACTGTCACAACCGCCCTTGGGGTGGGTACGGTTGTGACAATTTACCTTATTTTTTAAATTTCATTTTATGAACTAACCATTTGATTTAGACATATACTTTCATGTTTATACGTTAAGTAATGAATAAACTTCATTAGAATACATTTTTTGTTTAGTTTAATAGCATAAATAAAAAGCTATAGTCAATCATTTGAAAATTGTCACAACCGTACCCAGTCTACCCTACTATGGAACCTACGTAGATATTTGTATTATACCTACTTATTACAAAATTAGTTTGGGAGCATCGACCACAGAACAGAACTGTATTTTCTATTCCGTGGCATCGACCATGAAGCTAAGATATTTACTTCCTTGAAATTTGACTAAGCTCATTTTATTGCACGCATCGATTGACGTCATAGAATCTCCAAATAAACATAAAATTCGCAACTTACATTAAATTTACATTTTCAAATTCCTTCCTCCCTTGTTTGATTGATGCGGAATTGAAATCTATATTCGGTTTTGTTTCGATACACAATCCGACACAAAGAAGTATATTGTCAATTAAAGCCGTTTATAACAATTGTACTTACAATTTATGCACCGTTAACAATCTTATGGTTGAAAGATGGATTTAGGGCTTAGTACGGAAACCATTTGTCAATCCCATGACAACACAAGACATGAATCATTGGTACATGATAATTTATTTACTTGAGAAAGCCATCATGCTTCAACATGAATAGGCTGGCTAGTCCGCAGCCAAACACGGTCTTACAGAAAAGCGTCATAACTCTTTTAGTTACTGGAAGTCAATTCTTTCCTTCACCCTAAAATGCTGGCTACGCACTTGTACTCCCCTGGTGCTATGGTGTTGCAGGTGTGTATATATGGATATGTGTGTATTTATATACGAAGCCAATGCCCACCAACTCATTAAAAAATTAATATATGAACACGTGTGTGTAACGATAATTCTGGCCCTAAACAATTAAGTTATGAAACCTTCCAGATTTCGACCAATAATCTATTAAAATCCGTAAGTAACTAATTAGGTACTGTTTACCTTTGTAGGCGAACACCATTATCATATCAACAACATCCCTTATTTCTTAATCCTTCATACCTAATAATGTTTTAACAAATACAGCAACTTTCTGTAGTTTTGAAACTGCAATCTCCAACCCACCTTCTAAGCCTAGAGATTATAGAGAGACATTATTTAATGGACTCTAAAAGGCTATCATAAGCAACCACTGCTAAAAAAAGGGGAAGCTTTAATGCTCATTCCTTCTGACACGAAGAAGGGACACAAAGTGCATTAATCACCATGCCTGCTCAGGGCGGAATTGCGTTTTCTAACTTAAAATTGGAAATTATAAGTCCAGGTTTCCTCGCGATGTATTCTTTCACCGTTTGCCAGAAATGCCTGAATAAATTTTAGATAGTATTGTCTTGATGGCTGTAGGTAAATGATGATGACTTAGCATTAAATATAAAAGATTTTTGGCATAACGAAGTGGTTAGAGGAACCCGTTTGGAGAAGAATAATAAAGATTAAAGAATAATAATATAATTACGACCGACGGTTTGTTACACGTGGACCTTTTCTATAATAATATCTTAAAATATCAATAATAGCTCGGATTGAATCACGCCACTCATCATTAGGTACGATCGAATATTTTAACTTACATGATATTGGTATGTCTTAGTCTCAACTCAACTCAACTCAACTCGATATATGTATGTAGATAATTATAAACCTATGTAAGAATTAAAAAAGTGATCACACAGTGGTACGATTGATTGAGTTCAAATTTTGTATACACAATGTATGACTTCATAAAAATTACGCTAAAGTGTTGAGTCCCGGGATTTGTTAATCCACCTGAAAACATTTGTTTTTTATAAATTTATTTTCATTATTGTTAGGATACCCTGCACCCTTATAGTCAAATTTGGCTTGACGTTACGTTGCATTCACCATGATCATATGCAAAGCCATAAATTCAGTGCAAATTTGATTCCAAAAGACCCACCGCTTGTTTAATATAAAGGAGCTTATATATTATTAGTTTTTTATATACTTCCGTAACAGATGATGGGCCCGTATCTAAATATTTATGAATAAACAACTGTTTTCTTTGTAATAGTATAAACCAGTCTGGAATAGTAAATAAACAACTAATGTGAGCTTGTGATAGCATACATTTGACGTAAGGCAATTCAAGATCATGGTCGCCATTTGCATATAGTTTTAATAAGACTAATTAATTCATCATTGTATCATTTGGTATAATTTACAGAACAGAACTTATAAGAAAGATAACTTATCTAAAAACTGCTCTTATTTTAGGTACTATACGTTACAGTACTTGATTTTTTATATACCTAATTTGTATTTAAATTCGATTTAGATCTGCAGCGGAGATTCTGCCTGTGTTATTTGATAACTAGAGTTATAAAAATTGCATAAATATCTTGTTCTAGCATTTTTAATTAGATATTTTATAAAAAAAAAATAGCTATTACATAACATATTGGTATTATATTTTAAAGCTATGATAGATACCAATTTAGGTATGTTATCTACCTAGGTAAACGTAATGTTAAACTATTAAATTAACTCCACGAGTAAGAGATTGTTACCTAACCAGACACAGACAAATATATATATACCAAAGTTCATACAATTTCAATCAGGAAAATTGTTTGATTTCATTAACTTTAAATGACGATATCATGAGGAACGTGTATCTGTTATTGTTAAAACAATTGTCTGGAACATTTTAGGCAATAAGAAATTATATAATGCAATGTAGTAATTAGTAACTAGGTAATCAATGTCAGTGTAGGTTTGGAAGTTTATTAAAATAACAATTTACTCGCATGAAATATACTGAGAAAAGCTCTACTAGATAGTTTGCGCGAAGTTACCGTGACGTGTAGGCCGCTCACGAATAAGAATTCCGTTGTGACTTGAAACTAGTTGAGCTTTTCTCATTGAGTATGTCATTATTTTTAATTAATGTAGTTAGTCTTACGATAGTTACTATGTTAGAAACTCCGTCCGTTGTTATAATTTTTTCAACTTTTTTCTGCAAATGTCAAAGACAAAAACATTTCAATATTTCATCTAAACCATTAGGTATATTATACAGGTACTATTGAAAAATCAAAAACGAAATAGAAAAATAGACTACGCTAGCCTGTCGATCAGTAAAGAGGCGCTCGTTCCAAAATATAGATTCGAACTAAGAAAAGCACGCCACCAAGAAACTACATCGTCACTCTTAAAAAACCTGTGCAACTTATTTTATTAATAAGATTTATTATGAACTGCTATTATTTTTCTCCTTAGAACAACCACCAGCTGCATGGGCAAACGAGGCCCCAAGCAAGGCCCAGATAGCATCAGCTCTTTTAGAAGGGAAGGCGGCCTTGAAGGAAAAAACGAAGGCAGAATGGCTGCGTCGGCCATTGGACATGGACACACCAGCGAATAGGGCTCAAAGAGCAGCAGCCACTTCAGCTGATGTCAAGCCTTTAGCTGACTCTGCTTATGCTGCAGAAGTAGCCACTAAAGCTCTTATGAATGGGTAAGTAAAGTAGCCCTGACCAAAACTCCACGAGAACTGGAGCCTGCACTGTTACACCACTTCACAGTTCACACATGTTAGTACAAATCATTGTATGTACTTATACTTGTTACTTAACCTTTTAATAATTATTTACACGTTTATTAAATGTGTCTATGTATTTTTATACTAAATAAATAATTTGATTAATTATACAAATTTTGGCTACTTTTTCATTTTATAAGCTTAAGCGGCATTGAAGGGGAACGCAAGAGCGACAAAACCGTTTTTGGATTTTGGTTTCTAAGTTTAGCAACGTACCTACCCATTAATTTGTTAGATAATATTTAAACTACATATATAATAGATATATAGAATAGTTGTCGAAAAATATCAAAAGACAAAAATAATAATTTGAAATGTCATGTTCGCATGATTATTATTTCGTGTGAAATAATAGGAAGTTTCCACGCGCGTGCTTTTAAGTTAGCTTAGTTTTTTTTTTAAACGTACTTCTTAAGTACCAATATATTAATGTTCTACCCATTTCTAATTGGTTTAAAAATTAAAAGGTAATTTCTAAAAAAGATTTTATAATAATAATACCTCAGTTTCTAACATCGATTGTTCTTAACCAACTCTTGCAGTGTTTTATAACTTTTTACTCGTCCAATTATAATTTGTGTGTCTCTTATGACATTATTTAAATAATTACGTGCTAATTATGTTCAAATGTAAACTGACACTGCAACAAAAAACTGATCTTATTACTGATACTCAATATTTCGTTATCATCTATCTATCGGTACAGTCGGATCTATTTCCCGCGTGCGGCGACGGCTTATAAAACAGCTGGAAGTAATTTTAATGTGAATTATGATTGATATACATTCTCACACTGATCTTTTGCACGCTTTTCTGCTTTGGCTTTGATTACGCAGATTCTCTTTAAATTTAGAGTAACCTATTTTGAAACTTTGATATCCTTATCATGCGATTCGGAAAATACTTTTTTTTTTATATAAAAACGTTTCCCTACATTAGAATTTTCCGCTTAATGACAATTTCACATACACATTACACATCGCATCCAGACCCGGAACAACAATTTGTGGATCACACAAAGAATTCCCGAAATCGAAACCGCGACACGTTGCCCAGCTAGTGCGCCAACCGATCAGTAAATTTGAGCCATCATTAGCTTTGTGGCTGTAGATAATCTCTTAATATATTCTCTCTCGTCTTCAATATAAACAAATATGGTCCATCTATACCAATACAATGGTTAGTTCAATTGATAGCCAGTATTCAGTAGTCATCCGGTCACCTAGATACGGCCAATTGGATCCCCACTGCCGTTGTATTGGCATAGCTCTTAGTACCTACCTACTGCATTCTATGCACTCCAGACCTAAATTTATTTCAAATGAGTTATCATTGTGCATGTAGACAAATCGTGATGCGGTTTTGGACTTAAATAGTTCACCTATTAGTATTCTTGGTTTTTATAATACTCATAAATTAAATACAAAACATGTCAATTTAATTTTGTAACAAATTTTCTTCCTCGCTTTGACTTTAACGACTTTAATACCTAAGTATAAAGACGATATTTCCAGTCCAATGAAACCATTCTTCATTACATTATTAGATATTAGATCGTAGCTACAACTATCAAGTTTCGTAAGAAAGTTTGTTAAGCTCTTCTATAAACTGCTGATCACACAAAAACATTAACTTCGTCGACAGCTTAAAAGAATGAAATGAACTCTGTTTAACTAATAGTCTATTTAAAAACAACTTTATATAAATATAGTGGGCATGTAATTTAATTACTCTTCTTGATTCCAAAACCTAACGAAACGGAAGGACAAAACCTACGCAAATATCTTGTCTAACTATAGCATCAAATATTTCTGAACTCGTATGAATTTGTATAAATAAATAATTGACTAAAATGCGTCATGGCAGACGTTGACGGAACCAAAATCATTTCGGTATCTATATAAGTATCTGCATAAATCTATGTTTAAGTATTTATATAACGAGACAGTTTTTTTTTTAAAGTTGCTGTAATCCTTGGATAGAATAGCTGAAGATGACGTCAGTGGCGTGGCATTGGACTCTTGGAGAGGCCTACTGGACTTCATAATTCTAAAAGAACAGTTATATTATCCCATAAATGACTTAGAAATATAGTACGCAGATGAAACCGTGTGGAACAAAAAGTATTGATACAAAATGTCTACAAAATATCATATGTCTGGTGGAATTAGGACGCTTGTATACCGGTATAGGTAACTTGATCTATTATCTGTGTTATAAAACCGCGAAACACTATCCCTGCGTTGGTTTGGCTTCACACCGCCTCACTGGCCACAGGTTACCGAACTCCGCCAAAATATATCGATCAATAGTACAACAGTTACGCATAAGTCATAGTAGGTATATATACAAGTAAGTACTTCAGTTTTAGGTCAAGAAAACTTTTAGTATTTTAGGCCAGTGCTCAAAGCAAGTGTTCTAATCTGGATGAATAATGGTAAGGAAGAGGATGATCAAAGAAAGATAGATAGATAATCAGAGGGTACAAAGAAAGAGAAAGGAGAGTCATCTGTCAACATGTAATGTGACAACGTCTGATTGGACAGACTGGAGAGAAATTATATTCTATCTCATATAACCTCGAGAGTGGACCAGGAATGTAAATATTAACAGTACTGAACGTTTTCAATAAGGTAGGTATGTAAAAGTGGTTAAGTTAGATGGGAAACCAACACTGTTGAATCATGTTTGGAAGAAAATCAGGTTGGTATTAAAGAGAAAGGTCAATAAGATTAACGTTGACGCCAAAATTATTATAAAATTACTTGGTAAGATATTAATATTTTTCTAAAACAGAGAAATCGATGAAGCAACGTGGATATCTGTCAACCAGATTATAATACTAAGTATTCATGTATCAATTCACTAACAATACGGAAGATATCAAATTATCTACATACATTTGGTTTCCGTATTGCGTAAGCAAGTAGCACCTAGTTCTTACTCTTTCAAACCTTAATGTAACCTAATTAAAAACAAATAATAGGTACTAGCTAAGAAAAAGGTCTTTCTGCCAACCGAGACCCAAAAACCACGAAAATCAAACGCCTGATGACTAAATGTCATGTCAATAGTAAATAAACGTATTGCTATGGTTTTCTTGTTAATTTCGTTTCATTACTTCACAATAATGTTGTCAATTATGTACTTCCAATATTTAATTTATTTGATAATAGGTTCGATGATTTATAGAGATATTAATAAGAAATCAAAAATATCATACAAATTAACAATATTACTGTTAAGAAATCGATATATTGTTTTCTTATTAGCCTATCCCCCGTGATGACGAATGCGCGAGCGCCTAATAATATTATTGATCTTGTTGCTGTCGTAAACAAACTAGAAACTATTATGTTTTTTTTTTCTTTTTTGTTATTTCCATTTTTTACTCAATACTTATGTTTTACTCGCTAATAGAATTTTTCAAAGGTATAAAACTATAGTTACCAGTTGTTTATTATATTTTATTCACTTAATCCGGCATCACCAAAAACCTAAGCTAATAAGCTAAGGTTATCTGAAGCGCCTACCTGCTTATTTCAAAGGTGATACCTACGCCAAAAAATACTTTTTGCTATATTTTTTTTTAACCAATTTTACACGTTACAAAATACACAAACCTTATTCTTATATTTCGTTATGAAATTACCATGATGCCATTCTGTTTCCCTAACCAAGGCATTTGAGTAGCCTAACCTAACTTTATTTATTTTTTCTTTCTAGCACGGACATATCCCTGCGTCCTGGCGGATCGGGGCAGGGTCCTTCCCTAAACGGCTCGTTCCCAGTGCCAGCCTACTGCAGCACCACCCCCATACCCTGTGCTCTATCCAGGTATAGGACCACGGACGGCACGTGCAACAATCTGGACTATCCACTACGATGGGGAGTTTCTAAGACTCCGTTTAGACGAGTGCTTCCTGCTGACTACGGTGATGGTGAGTATTGATATGGTGACTTAAAATGATGAAGGACGTGCAAAGAGAGTTTGAAAGATAATAATTGTTAGATACAGATGCCCAGCAAATCCAGGTATCAAAGTTCTCTTCAATTGATTGTTGACTTTGTCGCAAGACGATACAGTCAAAAATATATTGAATAAATTTCGTTTAGGTCGATGTGTAGTACATACTTACTTACTTACATTTTCCTTATAAACCTATATGCCCTGGAGCAAGCCCGCGGTAAATTATGGCGCGTGTACCCACAACCCTGAAAATTATAACATAGGCACATAACTAAGAGCAGAGAAGAGACACAAATAATAAGATAGTTAACATTTATTGTACGTTCCTATTCCAGGCATAAGCTCCCCTCGACAAGGAGTGGACGGTGCAGCTCTGCCCAGCGCCAGGGATGTGAGCGTAACTGTACATAGGCCAAGCTATGCCCACGATTCTGCTTTTACTGTCATGTTGGCTGTGTGGGGCCAGTTCGTGGACCATGACATCACTGCAACGGCTCTTAGCAAAGGTGAATATGAAATTAGGTTTTTTGGGCCAACTAGCAGAATCATCACCTCTTGATAAACCATCAGGACCGCTCATGGAGTCCAGGGAAGTAGTAAGCGCTTTGTCCGATGGTATATATAATGGTCTTTTCTCGAAGGCCTATCAAAAGTGAGCCTTTGTCTTTTTAAATGGACAAACTTATTAAATATGTAATCAAATCACATTTCTTCTCCATATACATTTTTATACAACTTTATACAGAGAATTATTTAATGTGTTTGTCATCCCCGTTTGAAACCTTAAAGCAAAGATATATATAATAATCACTTTTTGCCATCCATTAAGCTCAATGAGCATGACATAATAATATGAGCAAGTTAAAATGCATAACCACTTCACGTAGCTAATATTGCTTTCTATCTCTTTCTACCTTCAGGTCAAAATGGTACAGCTTTGTCGTGCTGCGACCCGAACCAGATCCCTCACCCGGAGTGCTTCCCAGTGCGGCTGGATGAAGAGGATCCGTTCTACCAGGACTACAACATCACTTGCATGGAGTTCGTGAGGTCCGCTCCGGCGCCCACTTGCCATTTCGGTACGATAATACTTTACTCCATATTAGACTGTATACTGTACACCTTACACCGTGTGATGGCAGAATAGAATCCATTTGTCGCGTCTCCTCTTCTTCTGGGATTTTATGGGATAGTGTTGCTAGGGATTATGGGATTTATGAACTGGGGATGAGGGAAAGATTGGGCTTCGTAAGAGCCTACTAAGAAATTGCGCAATTAACAGAGACTTGAGAGTGTAGCGCTCTCTGATAAATATGCACCTTATTTACTGGGATCCACTATATTATAGTTTAAACTTTCGCGTTGCAAATTAATACTTTACTTTGTTACGGGGTCTAACGCGCACGATCCATTTATTTGTTTTTTGCTTGAGATCCACTAGCCAGGTGGGAAGTAAGGTAAACTACATATCATACACTCTACATAAGAATATACAAAAGAATCTGGATGAGACTAATAATTCAACAAATCAGCTTATATCAACACAGACTGAAGATGATGGCTCACATTATAAGATGTATGCCAGATATTTCAAAAACATCCAAAAAATAATATTCACTTTCGTAATATATGTACATTCCAGGTCCCAGAGAGCAGTTGAACCAAGCCACGGCGTTCATAGACGCGTCCACAGTGTATGGGTTCGCAGAAGCTCGCAGTGCGTCGCTCCGGTCCTTCGTTGGTGGCCAGCTGCGGATGCTGAAGATAGGAGCCACCCAACTACTGCCGCCCTCTACCGACCCCAACGACAGTTGCAACACTGCTGAGATGAACGCCAAGGGACGATACTGCTTTGAGTCAGGTACGATGAGATGAGAGCTAAAAATATTTGTTGCCAAAAAGTAAAATAGATAAATAAGCTTGGTAGACACTGGATCAGAACCGACTGGTTCGATTTAATATCTAAAAAATCGTACCTGATTGTAATCACATCCTTTCACATCATCAGCCTATAAGTGCCCACTGCTGAGCAAAGGCATCTTCTCACTCAGAAAAGGTTTGAGCAATAACCACTTGATAACACAGATTTTCCTGCACCCTATAGTGGTGTCTTAATAATCATAGAAAGTACCTACAGATAAGTCGGAAAAAGTCACATTAGTACTTGCCAGGTTTCGGACCCGCACCCTCATGCATGAGAAGCGGCCGCCTTAGCCTTCGTAGCACCACAACAAATGATTGCAGTCACTCCGTGTAAAATAGGTTCTGATTAAGGCTCAGATCAGAGGTGACTCCAAGTCGGTAGGAAAATCCTCCAGTAAAAAATTTATTTCATCTTCTGCGATTCAAAATCTATTCAACATGTTTCTGACACCAAAGTTCCCAAAAACAAAAAGGTTTAACAAACTTTGCTAATGGTTTATCATCTCCCTCCTTGTACAGGAGACGATCGTGCCAACGAGAACCTCCACCTGACGACGATGCACCTGATCTGGGCGAGACAACACAACCGCGTGGCGGCCGCGCTGCGCAAGTACAACCCGACGTGGGACGACGACACCGTATACCAGGAGGCCAGGAAGATTCTGGGGGCACAGATGCAGCATATCACCTATACAGAGTTCCTGCCTAGTATACTCGGTGAGTCCAATAAATGACAGACAAAAAACTAAAATAAAAACTTGATGATCAATATCATCAGTCGAAGATGTTAGGAAAATTTGGGTACGCACGGGTGCAGTAATGATACTCAAATTATCCACTAATTAATGAATGGTTTATAAATAAAAACCTTCCTCTTTAATAAAAGTTTTTAAACCGCATCAAAATCAGATGCATAGATTCAAAGATTCAAGCATACTTATGGACAGAGAAAGCGACTTTGTTTTTTACTAAGTAGTGATAAGGATTTACTATCTTGAATGAAGTGGATAAATCTCTACTAGTTTCAAGCTACAATGGGACCCATGATATTATACTGCTTGTGTATGATCCCATCCTTGCTGGACTAAATTATAAGTCCCCAAAAGCTATTACATAACGTAAAGACTGCCTTAGATTTATTAATAATTAATTGAATTACAACAATAGCATGCTGTATATTTTCTCATTTTACGAGCATGCCTGACTAATTTCCAGCACGCACGGAGTCCATAAATTAAAACATTGTTGTTTGTAACAGGATGGGACGTGATGTGGGCTCTGAACATGACAGTGGAAGAGGAGGGCTACTCCAACGTGTACGACCCCACCGTGGACCCTTCCATCGCCAACCACTTCGCTTCTGCTGTCTTTAGATTCGCGCACACTTTGCTACCGGTAAGATTTATTGGAAACATAATTCTCTTTTTTGTCATTTTGATAAAAAAAAAACAATTACTCAAGATTGTCTCAGGGCTGATCTTCAGCCAGGGTTGCGGGACAAGCGCAATGAGGCACCGCAGTCTCGGTCTAGAGCAGGAGAAGCAACGGTGGTTTTTAATCAATAAGCGTCTGACACTGGGTGGGAGAAGTCATTTCAGGATATTGCCCCTCACAAAAAAATGCCTTTGCATATATAACAATGAAACGATGAAGCTTGTTCCTTCCCAGGGACCTGATAAACTAACAGCCATGTTTAATGTTCCAGGGTCTAATCCACAACACGGACAAGAGTACCGGCACCATACAGTACACACACCTCCATCAAATGCTGTTCAATCCATACACCCTGTACACCAAGAAGGGTCCCATAAACGCTGTCACCTCTGCCATGGCCACCCTCGTGCATACTGTGGACCCACACGTTACTACTGAGGTAAATATAATCAAAAGTGGATCAGCTCGACTGGAGTGATCACGACATCACAGAAGACCGGCCTGAAATACACCCTAGCGTTTGTCCCTATAGGTGTGGTTACTAACCGTTTTCCTCCCCAATCCCTCAATCTACCGAACCCTAATCCCCAAAAGGGATTTTGCCAGATGTATACACTCGTGGGTCTTCTGGTGGCGTTTGCCGTTTATGACATTAAAAAAAGGTTAAGTAGCAACTTAGGTAGCTGAATAGTGTAAACTTAACGAAGATACTTTCTTGCTAGTATTATTTTTCAAATAAAAAAGAAATTGTATATTATACTGTGTGTATACCATATTGAGAGAAAGACCAATCACAGCATAAGACTCATAAGTTAAAGACGTTGTTCTATTTTCAGCTAAGCAACCATTTGTTCGAAAAACCTGTGATGGCCAACACATCAGATACTGAGAACAAGAAGCCAGGTCCATGCGGGTTGGATCTGGTCTCCCTGAACATTCAACGCGGCAGGGACCATGGTCTGCCTCCCTACCCACAATGGAGGGAGCACTGTGGGCTGTCCAGGCCGAAGAACTTTACCGACTTACAAGCGATATTCGACGAGTCATCGCTCAGTAGGATTTGCAAGATTTACAAGTAAGTGTTGAACAGACTGAGTTTTAGTTGCACATACAACCGTGTGAGACCTATGCTTTGGCACAATTGGGTCGGCTCGACCGAACTGATGACAGGGCCTCACAGAAAACCGGCTTGAAACAAGCAAAGAGTTTCGCCGTGTGAGCGAGGTTACCGTCACTTCGCCCCATCCCTCCCAAACCCTTGAATCCTCAAAACTAGGGGTTTTGAGGACCCTATTATTTATTTATTTATTTATTTAGCAAAAAGTACAATTTTAGTAAAAACATTTTGTTCTTCTAATTAAAGATCCTCGCCAAACACGTTTAACGGCGAGAAGCGCTCATTTGTTTTACTTACTAGCTAATTAAGTACTTTATATAACATTAAAAAACAAAACTAAAATCAGAACAAAAATAAAAAATACACATTATAAAGGATAATCATTAAAGAATGCATTGCCTATGCTCTCTTGAGCAATTCTCCCCTTAGCTTCTTCTTCAACATAAACAAACTCACTTTATTTTCCTCTCTCAATATATGTATTTTATTGAATATTTTTGGCACTATATATTTATTAGTTCTCTTACCATAGTAGTTAATTATTCTAGGTTTATTTAACATAAGCTCTCTAGCCCTTCTGGTGTTATATTTATTCTCTAATAAACATTTATATTCATTGCTATAATAATACTCTAATCCTATTAAATACTCAACTTTCCTATCTATGGGCAGTATTTTACACAGTGGAAATAGTTTATCATAATCCTTATTGCAGATGTTTTTCTCTTTCTTACTCACTAAGTATTTTATCAGTCTTAATTGTAAATTTTTAATATCCTTTAAATAAGTTTGGAAAGTACACCCTACAAAACATCGGAGGAGTTATGCCAGCAACTCCTCCGATGTTTTGTAGGGTCCATGGGCGGCGCTTATTGCTTACCATCAGACAACTTGTATGGTCCTTTGCCTTTGGTTATCGTATAAAAAAATATTTATTGGTATTTCCAAAAGCTTAAAGCATGAAATTGACTTAAAATATTCATCCATTATTATTTCAGTTCCGTGGACGATATAGATTTATACACGGGTGCGTTAGCGGAGGACCCTAAGGGTCGTCTCTTAGGCCCAACCCTCACCTGCCTCATCGCTGACCAGTTCTACAGGCTAAAGGTCGGCGACCGGTTCTGGTACGAATCTTCGGATGCCACCATTGCATTTACTTTGGGTAGGTTTATTTTATCTTACATCTTAATGGCTGTTAATTAAGTATAAGACTTTTTCAAAAATAATTTAACAATGAATCTGATAATGAAACTGATTGAAAAAGAGAAACCATGATGTTTCTTGCTTCTCCATCGGAATCTACACTTTAAAACGAGCGAATAGCTTTACTAGAGAACTAACCGACAGACTAAAACTTTATATCTTTAGGGCTTGGGTTGACATTTAAAATAAATAGTTTAATTTAGACTTTGAAAATAAATTGAATAAAGCATGTATATGCACTGGATTGCGACTAAGAATCTAAATCTTTCTTTCACAGAACAACTGACAGAAATCCGCAAGACGACCTTAGCTGGAGTTATCTGCGCCAACGAAGATCTTCTAGACCAAGCACAGCCTCGAGTGATGGAGGCAGTCAGTGCCACCAACCCACTGGTGGACTGCAAGGAGTTACCACAACCAAACTTAAGAGCCTGGGCCAAACCCAAGCCATCAAAGACATCGAAGTCCTAGACAGGAGCGAGTGAGGTAATGTAGTGATAGCTAGTCCGACACGAGGTGGATGTTTGAACCTAAACCAGTTTGACAATGTTTTATAATAATCATTATCAACAGCCATTTTTCAAATGTGATTTAGTTTAGACGACAAACGCTTGACATGATTCTAAAAAGATTCGAAAAATTGTAACAGATTTGTATTTTCTATTCGAAAAATAAACACACAAAAATCTATATTTATGAATCTGTAAGAAAAACCAAGAATATGCATTCGAAAAATGTTAAAACTGTCGATTGACTTCCAAAAATAATTATACAATTTTAGCGTTGGTCCCAAAACACGCCCTGAGGAATTTTATGTGCAGTAATGAAAACAAGCATATTATCCTAACGCGTGGAAAACTGTTTGAATATGCCTGATTTATTAGTTATCTTATTAAAGAAAACGATCTTAACCTGATTTTTTTGGGGAAATTCAATAGATTTTTAGCACTTTAGCTACCAAGTGCCGAGTTTAGCAGTGGGCAGAACCCACACGGAACAAAGCTAGTAAACAAATACATCTATTGTTCCGGGTCTTAAGAATCTTAAGATTACATATGTCTAACTATGCATTTAAGAAACAATTATTTCAATATGGTAGAAATATGTTTGTAAACGCACCCACGAACGAAACAAAAAAAAGTTTGATTAGGTTCAAAGATACAGCTTATTTATGTAAGTGTACATAAAAAACGCAGTTTAAGAAAACTATACATAGGTACTACATAAAATTGTAATCAACGAATTTTCTCTTACTATTAAAATCGAGATTAAAATATTTATAAGTTATTGTGTTACATTTATACATAAATTACTGAATAATACTCAAATAGATTAATATTATTATCATTAGTTTTCACATTGCGTAGTTATTATAGTTACCTTATAAAATACATCCTTTCATTAATTATTATGTTTTCAACTTACTCGCGTAATAGTTTGACGAGATACTCGACTGGTTTCAAGCCATGCTAGAGGCCACGAGCAGCATTCCGCGACACGCGACGCGGCGACTGTCGCGCTGCTACTGTAGCACTTACACCCGGTTTCCGAAAGGTCGATCAATGTTAAAATCAATTTAATCTCTTGTCAAGTCATCTGATTGGTTGACTGAATTATCAACAACCAATCAGATGACTGAATTATCTGAATTATCTGATTGGTTGACTGAATTATCAACAACCAATCAGATGACTTGACAAGAGATTAAATTGATTTTAACATTGATCGGGCTTTCGGAAACCGGGCATAAGGCTTGAAACTAGTCGAGTATCTCGTCAAATTATTACGTGAGTAAGCCGAAAACATAATAATTAATTTAGAATGTCTCACGAAAGTTTAAATAAAAACATACTTTAATTAACTGCTAATCATATACCTGATTAAAGATATAATATATTCTTATGTATTGTCATTTTAAGGCAGTATGTTTGTTACCTGTTTAGTATCCATTTTAGCGGAATTATTAGTTAATAGAATATTATTCTATGTATGTGAAAATATTAAAAGTGATTTCACACTATGCGACGTCCAATCTTAGCTTAGATATAGTAATGCTTCAATGTGTTTATTGATAAAGTAAATTGGTTAAGAAATAAATCTTTTGTTTTTATTTATGCTGTCTGTGCTTTACTACCTTTGCAAGATTTAGAGGTAAGTTCAAACATAAATCAGTTATCTACACTGTAACAAAATGAATTTCAATAGGATACCTAATAAACTGGGTAGGTATTATTATACACTATTTGTATTTCACTTTTTCTATAAGCTCTTTCTTCTAAAAAGATCAACATACTTCTGCCCTGAATAGAGCAATAGTATTTGTTACTAAAAAAAAATACCTCGTTCCTCCTCCCGCTCTGAATCGGGCCGCCCGGTAAGTACAGTAGAACTCCAACTATAGTAAGCCCCATCTGTGGTAGTCTTAATATACTTCTTGATTCATCATCATCATCATCATCAGCCTATAAGTGGCCACTGCTGAGCAAAGGCCTGTTCTCATATGGAAAAGGTTAGAGCATTAATCACCACGCTTGCTCAATGCGATTTGGCGATTATAAACTTATAATTAGAAATAATAAGGCCAGGTTCCCTCACGATGTTTACCTTCGCCGCATGTCAGTGGTGTCTAAATAATCATAGAAAGTACATATAACTCGGAAAAAGTCACATTGATACTTGCTAGGTTTCGAACCCTCATGCTCCTTAACTTCAGGGCCACCACGTCATTTTTGTTTTTCTTGATTTGAAAACCTAAAAAAATCAAGTTATTTTCTAATTCTACGGTCATAATCATAACATCTCTAACAAATAATAAACAAAGTCATAATTACATTGAAATTAGATACAGATTCTCTAAATTATTGTGGTCACTGGGAGGAAATCCAAAATTTGCTCCATAACCACCCACAGAGTCAGCGGTAAAAAAGCGAAGCTATGTAAAACGCGCCAGTTGCTATCACGACGGTTAGTGATGTTCTTCAAACAAGACTTGACAAAATTATTATTTTGTTATCTGGACATTTCAGCAAGAGAACAGACACATCGCATGATGGTAATCGTCAATCATCATCACCAATAGACACTCTTATGACTAAAGAAATTACAAGAATGTAGTCTGTCTTTTCTAGGTGGTAATATTTAAAGACAAGGGATTTGGTGATGGAGGGTGGGTAGAGGTAAGGATTGTCTCCCATAAACCTCATGCACACGTCAAAACACAACGTAAAAAATCTACCAAAGGCGGTCTCTTGCCGAATATACTAAGAATTACGTATTCCACAACGTTATTGTAGTGGTTTTGCCTACTTTCGTCACCGTCACTTACAGTTAAGGGAGCACCAGTAAGTCAACTTCTATGAAACATACAAAATTCTCTATAATCCTATACATTATGAAGGATTGTGGAGTTAGAGAGAGTCATGCTTCGTCACGAATGGGTCGGCTCGACTGGAGTGATACCATGGCCTCACAGAAAACTGGCGTGAAACAACCACAGTGATTGAGGTTATCGGAGGTCAAATCCTTTCCCCTCTTCCAATCCCAAAGTTTCCAAATCCCTAATCCCCAAAAGATCGGCAACGCACTCGTAATTCCTCCGTTGCGGGAGTCCATGGGCCGCGCGGATTACTTTCAACTAGGTACCTAATATGTTTGCTCGTTTACCGACATATCACATAGAAAAAAGGATGAGAATCCTTGCAGTCTTGCTGTACTGGGCACAACACTATGCACAGATGACTCACACTACTATTAGCATTGTTATATGGGTGACCGTAGGAGGACGATGGCCTTGTAGTCTCTACAAACTTCAAGCTTCTCGACAAACTCACACACTCATCTAAACTATAAACTTGATTCACAATTTTGAACTTTATAACCACGTTAATATAGATGCGAAAATTTTTGAAAATGGCAAAAGGATATTTGTAAAATTATTGAAGGCCGGCTGATGTCAGGATTTGTTAGCGTGTCCTGTGCGATTCTCTCAGGACCTTGACTCCACCTGTCTTTGGCACGTAATTGGCTAATATCCAGCGAATTATGATCTTTAAATGTGGTGTTACCACCTTTATGGCTTCAAGGCAGGGTTAGTAAGGAACAAGACAATGTGGTTGACCTCAGAGCTGCCTTTCTTTCCTTAATGTTTAGTTCTTTAAGTGTCAAATTAGCGGCGACCCTTTTGAGTTAATTTATGTCACAATTTGCTTGTACCTGCTGGAATTATTTGTAATGATTTACCTGAAGTATGAGTAACAACTTAACAAGACGAGCTGGAGGCTACGTACATTTCCTCAAAACATAAAGTATTATAGGCATTCTCTTTAGTATAATGGGCTGTATATCTGTTCGTTATGTAGGGAATTGTAATTTCCCATAGGTAGTTACAGAGTATGCAGATTGAGTTTTACGAGAAAAACAACTGTTTCTAACTATAGCTGGTGACTTGAAACGTGCCATAATGAGCAACGTGCAGATGTACATAGTTTTAATTACCGTGTCGATGCAATGTAAACTTTATTCTAATTGCTAATGATACAATTGGCAATGTAAAACATGAACAAATATTGTTTTATACAATTGGGCAGCAGCCTGCAGACTATTTATAATTTACTAGCTTCCGCCCGCCTGGTATATTGATAAACTGTGGCCTATGTCCTATACCGGAGGGTATCCTATGCCTAAATTTCATCCAGATCCAATCAATCAATCAATCAATCAATCTTTTGAAGTTCAATCCGTCCAGCCGTTTTGGCGTGATTGAGTAACAAACATCCAAACATCCTAACATCGTAACTTTCGCATTTACAATATTAGTAAAATAGCTATAGGTTTACAGAACTTAGAATTTGATTCCATGTGCAGTTTGACTTACACCACTAAGCTTATCGAACGCATATTGCGAATAAGTACATGTCGACACACACGAACATCTGCTACTGCTTAAAGGCCTAGATAACAGATTGTGTGTATGCTTACAGTAACCTACTCTTATTGTAGCAAAAAATGATCTTATTAAAATAAACATTTGAATTAATTTTGAAAGAAAGAGAAAGAAAACTCTTTTATTTTAATAAAGTAAAGGTACATTAGATACCTATTATATTTTAAGGTGTACACAAATATCATTACGGCATTCATTATTAATTTGTACACAACATTAATGAATGCCTACTTGCCTAGGTTCTTAAGGTATTAAGTTACAAGTGCGTTGCCGGCCTTTAAGTTTTTAGGGAGTTAAGAACAAGGGAATTGGTGATTAATGGTGAAGGATATGTAGTCGCCTTTTGAGTAAGGTTACCAATTCAATTACTATCATACTACAACGTAGCTGTTGTTTTACCACGGTTATTCTGTGAGGCCGTGGTATACCAGTTGAGCCCGTCCATTCGTGCTGAAGCATGGCTCTTCCATGCTTAATGCACCATGGGTCACAGACTGAGCAGTCCAAAAGATGGCAAATACATTGCCAACGTACTTAGTACTGCTAAAATCCAAGGCTTATATAAAACTACATAGAAGATAAGCATATATACCTACATATAATACAAATAAGATTTAACACAC